GCCCTCAAGGGCAGAGTTTACAACGCAGCCGTCCGTTCAACTCTCCTATATGGCTGTGAAACCTGGCCCATCAGGTCGACAGACATGAAGAGACTCGTCACGTTCGATCATCGCTGCCTTCGCAGCTTAGCTCATGTTTGGTGGGAACACCGCGTGAGCAATGAGCGTGTTCGGCGTCGCGTATTTGGTGCAGGAAGAGCGAGTGAACCGCTCAGCACGATTATATCACGCACCAGGCTCCGATGGCTGGGCCACGTGTTGCGCATGCCAGCACACCGACTCCCACGACGTGCATTTTTTGCGCGTTGTGGGTGCGGTTGGAAGAGGAGGAGGGGAGGCCAAGTGATGACTTGGTCGCGAGAAATGAAAACCCTCACTTCGAAGTTGGCGTCGGTTGGTGCATCCCGACTGCCTGGCTGGGGTCCTAAGGACGGTGAACACGTTTGGCTGGACACACTTGCTGATATGGCTAGGAGCCGGCCCCAATGGCGTTTGTGTTGTGAGTTCCTTTGTCCATCCCCCTCCTGTTTAGCATCCCCCTCCAATCACGATCTCAATCGTTAGGCATAATATGACTTTCTTTTACGGCAGCCAGCTGTTAGCTCTCCGGAACGATGTCCATCCGTTACTGGGGACTCAGCGGGCGTGCCATTGTTTGTTTGTTTTTTCTTTTCTTGCCTTTTGTATTGCGGCACAATAGCTGAGGTGTTTTCCACCTCCAGCGAACGTGTAATGATGATGATGATGATGGACAGGCATTCGCAATTCGTGTCCCAACCACCGCAGTTGGTGCAGTGAGACGAGTTCCTCGAGAGAGTGGCTTCCACGTCCCAAGACGCGCTGTCTAACTTCCACATTGCTTACGTGGTGCTACCATGACGCACGGGAAATGGACCGCAGACAGCGGTGCTCGAAGACGGATAGCCTGCGCAAGTCATCTTTACGATTGGGCCACGTCTCGCATCCGTACAACAGTACAGCACGAACAGTTGCACAATAGACCCGCCTTTTGATGGAGAGACGAATGTCGTGGCGACGCTGCAAGTGCCTCAGCCTAGAAAAAGCGAGACGTGCTCTCTAGATGCGCATCGAAATTTCGTCTCCAACAGCCCCGCCAGCAGTGTTGCAACTTCCCAAGTAGACAAAGCTCTCCACAGCTTCCAGTGTCTCACCACCAAGAGTGAGTGCGGGCAGAGGCACCTGCCAGTCTTGGAAGAGAGCGTTGCATTTGGATGGCGAAAAGTACATTCCATACTTTGATGCTTCAATCGCCAGGCGGTTTAGTGCAAGTTAGACGACGTATGGATCGTCACCCAGCAAGACGATATCATCAGCATAATCCAAATCAACAACTCGACTACGTGGGAGTAGCTCAACGCCAGCGTTCAACGAATCGCCTAGTGCGTTTTTCAGTACCTACCCAATGACAAAGTTGATTAGGAACAGAGAGATAGGGCATCCTTGTCGAACTCCACTGGAGACCACAAAGGTAGGCGCAAGCTTGCCATAAGCCCTAACCCTGCCCGAGGTGAGACCATAGAGGGCGCGCAGTATGGAGACGAACTTCTCGGGGACACCATTCCTCAGTAGGTAGTGCCACAGTACCGTACGATCGACGGGATCGAAGGCTGCACGGATATCCAGAAACATATCAACCGTTGGCCTCTGATACACATGTCGGAGCTCGAGGATCTGGCGGAGTGTGAAGATTTGATCGATGCAGCCACGACCAGGGCGAAACCCAGCTTGTTCTTCCCGTTGCAACGATTTGCGCATTGGGGATAGCCTGCGAATTATGATGGACACCGGTAGCTCGCAGACGACGGGGACTAAGCTTATGCCTCTGTAGTTGGAGCAGATTGTGCGCAAGTCCTTTTTGAAGATGGGGACGACTATCGATTCACTCCAAGATGATGGAACTTTCTCTTTCGACCAAATTTTCGAGAACAAAGCGGTGAGTTCTCGAACCAGCGAAGCGGCACCATCTTTAAATAGAGCTGGAGGAAGACCATCAGGGCCAGGAGCTTTATAGCGCTTCATGTGCGGCAGCTCCTGCTCGAGTTCCTGGTAAGAGAGAGGATCTGTGGAGATAGACCACTCGGCCCCAGAGCGAGCGCCAGAGGTAGCAGATGGACCTGGGGGCCAACCAAACTCCGAGCCAAAATGTTCGGCCCATCACTCCAACCGTCGTTGAAGATTGGTGATTAAGGTTGCATCCTCTTCGCATATTGTTTCACTTATACCAGATCGAACATCTTCGGTGACTCGAGTGAGATGGAAAAGTTTTCTGGTATTACCAGAGAGACTAGCAAGCTCAATCTCCCTGGCACGTTCACACCACCAAGCTTCGCGGTCCATTTGCAGACTCCTGCGCAACTCTCGACCCAGGGATTGGCGTTCGTCACTGTGTCTGGAATCCGACGAGATCAAACAGCGTTTATCTATCAGCGACAAGGAGATGGCGGAAATCCAATGCTTCGGTGGGTGACGGCTACCTCCACAAGTGTCGATACTGGCAGAAAGTAAGGCATCTTTGATCTGCGCCCACTGCGAATCGAGATCACCGTCAATAGTTGAGCCAAGCAAGGTTGACAGTGAGGCTTGGTACCTGGTTAAAATCGCAGGGTTTTATAGATTTGCGATGTCTGATCGGTAGTGAGCGGGTTTAGGTGATCCTCCGAAACGCATGCGAATCTTAACATGAACCAATGCGTGATCCGAGTCTAGATACGTTGACCAGTACGATCGGCAGTCCGTTACGCTTCCGCGCCATCTGTGGCTGATTGCTATGTGGTCAAGCTGGGAACACTCTTGCGTTTGTGAGGGCGTGCGCCAGGTAGCAGTGTGCCTCATTGAGTACCGAAAACTCGTGCTTGAAAGATACAAGCGATGATCAGAGCAAAGAAAAAGCAGTCTGTCTCCATTGTCTGATCGACTGCCACCGAAACCAAAACTACCCCCAAGGTGGTATTCGCTTGTGGAGGGCGGCCAACCCGTGCGTTAAAGTCCCCGGCAAGAATGAATATATCAGTCCTTTTGGAGGAACCCAGAAGTTCATGTAGCTGCTGGGGAAGGCCATCTTTAACTGCATCCGGGCTGCAGTCTGTAGGGGCGTAAACGGAGACGACAAGCAGGGCACGCTTAACGTCCCTACGCCTGCTTACGTTACATGAACCTCGTAGTATGACAGCACATAGCCGACTGTTGCCTGGGATCTAGTCAAGCAGAGCTGATTCAGTCCTGGCACTCAGTGCAACCCCAACACCAGCTTGGCCAGTGGCGGCAGCTTCTGGGTCTCCGGAAAGCCGCAAGTAGTATTTGGCATCAGGGTTCACCGGTGAAGCCATTCTGATGACGGCGCTAGAGTCTTGTAATCTGCTCCTCACAGTAAATTCATGCAGATACGACAGCGTACCAAGGCATGATCAAAGTCGACGCAGGTATTCCAGTATGAGCAGCAATCCAGGATGGAACCAAGCCACCTGTAACTTATGGCAATGTGGTCATTTTGGGTCCATCGCTGGCCAGCTACAGGAGGACGCGAAGTGGCACTTCGGCGCCCACTGTGTCTAAAAGCACTGCTAGTAAGAAACCACTGGTGCTCCGCACACAGTTGCAACAGATACTCGTTGTTGTCAGTCCATTCGGAGTTAAGTCCATAATTACCGCCCAACTGAGCTTCTAAAGAGCTCATACGTCCTACTTCTGCGTTCATATCCCCTGCAAGTATTATAATATCTGAACTAGTAGCACTGCGTAGTAGGGCGTTCATTTCGTGATACAATGTGTCCTTGACAGTATCAGAACTGCAGTCGTTGGGAACATAAGCGAAAGTCACAAACCAACAGCATTTTACGACTTTGTGTAGCAACCTTAGTTGAGGTCGTCAAACGGGCTGCACACAAACGGCTGTTCGCCGGAATTCAATCAACCAACAATGGTTCATCCTTAGAGCTTAGAATAATACCTGCACCAGCTTGACCCGTGAGTGCTACATCGTCGTCTCCGGATGCGTGCAACCAATAACGAGAGGACAAGTTGGGCACAGTTACTTCAACAACCCATTAGGGTCACTGATTTTAGTTTCCGACACACGACACATCAATACCCAGTGTGTCTAAAAGGCGTTCGGGTGCAGCGATTTGATTCTTTTTGTCTTCTAGTACGAGCGTTGAACGCTGCCAGGGCAATGGGACAACATGGCCTTATAAGGGACTGTTGCAGATTGGCGTCCTGTATGTCACGAGGTGGATGCACTTTGCTTCTACTCCAGGGGCACTTCAGTTGCTGTCAATTAAGCTGGGAATTATGGGAGGAAGTTTAGTAGTGCGAATTGGGATGGGAATGGAAAAGAGGAGGTGCCAGCTGCGGCATGTTTCGTTTATCCGCCCTGCTGTATGCAGCAGATAAGGCGAGCCTTGATAATCTTCGTGACGGCTGATGCAGGATGAAGTTTATGTTTGAAGAAATAGTCATGGTTGTATGTGGGCTTAGATACTGCCAGGGCGTCCAGACCTAGACTAGAGAACGATTAGGGTCCTCATCCAAAGTGTTTGGTTCAAAAGCCTGCGCGCAAGGCAACGTGGGGTGGCAATGATTTAGTTTTACAGAAATGGACGCCATCTCATTTCAAACCGCCAACCTAAAGGACCAGCAGACTGAGTTTGTTTGACTTCTCACCATTGACCAACGTGGTAGGAGCTCTCAATGGGCCCGGAGGCACCACCCAGTATTGCTCAATTGTTTAAGATACGCAAACCGTCGCACCACGTTAAGGTCCAGTTCACTTGCGACGGCACAATAGCTGTTGTTTTACCCTCAGGTAACATGTAATGATGATGACCGTCCTTTCTGATGAGAGGCTCTTGTGCTACGTGTCACCGATTCAGAAATACAGTTCTTGTCTCCGCAATTTATCTTTCACTTGATAATGTAGTTACAAAGTTACTGAACTGATTATCAACCTCCTGCTCGTCTTCCATGCGCCAGGATGCCTTCTGATGAATACTAGGAATTATCCTGATCTAAATAAAGACTTGGTCTTTCGAATTCTTCTGTACGTAAGATCATTTTTCGCCGCTAGTCTGTTTACTTCACTAGTATAGTTCTCGGGCTCTGTATTTTTAACTTTGTTTGACTCCCTCAGATTCCGATCGTACTCGCAGAGGACGACACTCAGGGACAGACATCCATCACAAATGCCTTGGGAACATTGGATGCACCTCTTTCAGCCAATGCGGCTACTGATCCCACTGTTGCGGTCCTTCAAGAGGCCGCTAAAAGCGCGGATACCGAGGTACCACCTTCGACTCACGCTGACAATGAGGGCACTGCTGCTGTTGATGGCGAAATTGGCAACGGCGCGGATATTCAAGGGGTTGTTGAGCAGTTTGTTCTAAATGAGGAGACAGCCGTTGTGAATGGTCAACCGATGCAAGTCGTGACCCTCATGGATTCCAGTGGACGTATGTTGGATCAGAAGCATGGAAAAACTGGCGAACAAGTGGTCTTGGAAATGCACGGTCAGATGTTCTCTTATGAACTCCAAGGACCGTCTGCTGACGGTGAAGCCATCACAGTTAGTTTTTTTTTTGAAACCCGTCTCCATCGAATCCGCTAGTTGAGTGCTTTCTTGCTTATTTCAACCCTTTTTGGAGTACTTAATCCCACCTCTATTCGCCTGCAAATTTTACCGCACATAGGCTTGCCCAATTTTCGCTCACCACTTGACCTGAGCCGTACTGGTTCTACTTGACATTAGACCACAGCGCACCACTGTTTATCGATAGTAGACACCTGCATTTCACCTTTGTCAGTCGTCACTTTGTGTGCCCCAGGTTCTGTTCATTAAGAAACACTAATCATTCTAAGCGCTTTCACTTGTTCGCTTCCATTCACTGCGGATGCCTCTTTTTCCGGCCCGTAGCCTTAAGGATCACAAGCCTGCCTTGTACTCCGAGGGCGCGGGCTCGAACTTGCGTACTGGGCTGGGTGACACCCATGTGTTACTGTTGGTGATTACGCGGCAGCAACCCATCGGTACTGCGTACCAGGGTACTGCTGATGCCACTGGTGAGCTATTTGAACTTTACAAACCACATTTCACTTCTCTCTCTCTCTCTCCCAGTCCACTTTGTTGGTCTCTTCTTCCGACCCCGACGAAGAAGAAACCGCCGATATTCGCCCACTGACTGCCACAGTTGAACAACCACCAACCACCAACACCACCTGGTCACAAGTGAGTTGGCGTGTCTTATCTGCTTTTCCAATTATTTGTTAGTCTGTCCTTCTTATTAGCCCTTTACCACTGTATTTACGCGTCCTTTTCAACTCTCCCTAAACTGGCGCCCTAAAACAACACCTTGAAGACGAACTGTTTGCTTCCTATCTGCTAAATTCATCTGGGAAGCTGGCCCGATGCGGATTTTACCCGATGCAACCCGCTCATATTACCACTTGTTTTGGTGAAGAATCATCGTAGCTAGACTCAGTAGACAGCCACCACACATCCAAGAATCGGATATGGGACCGTGGAACACACACTATTGATGACACCCAAAAGATTGAAACAGCTGTCAAATAGCGCTTTCTTGGATATGTGGTGAGGTCTGCCTGAGACTTGGTGCGACGAATTTTCACAAAATCTAATCACTACCCTACTGCTCACTAATTACCACTTGTTTCCTCGTTAGCTCCGTAATGGATGGTTGTCCCACTTTATTAGTTTTATCAGTTACCGAATGGGGAGGGGGTGACCCCGCTATTCGAAATCGCTCACTGGTCTCCATAAATAAGTGGAAAGTGAGGTCTAATAGTTTTGCTCAACACGCGCACCGGCATATTGCATTACCCTCATTATGCTTACCACCGCAGTCATTTGGATTGATTCTTGCCTGCTTACCTGGTTGCTAAGTCTTAGTCATTATGAACTCAGTTTATTTGAGTTAACTAACTATGACCAGGGCATTGACGTGCACCCGTTATCATAATTATTGTCTCCATGCTGATCAGTGGTGAAGAACGTGTGGCGAGATGTGGAGTAAAAGTCAGAGGTTCATCAGCTTAACTGCAAACGATCGGGTAACTGGATACCATTGATCTGTTGGGTGCGTACTCACAGCTAAAGTTTCTCCGGTGCAGCGAATCTCCAGCATTCCATCCATGAACACGGTATTTATCAATTTGACCAAGTTTGAACCAATTTTGTAATGTTTTCCCATTTTTTCACTGATATCACTGAACGCTTGCATCAACAGTCAGTAGACGCACGAGGGATGTGACGTAACCAATATACGTGGTCCGATTTCAACAAACACTGCAATACAACATCAGTCTGCAGGTTTTCTTCTTGTTTGTCCAATGCTCCCACGATATGTGGACAGCACCGCGCAAACACCGGCGATCAAGGACGACCAGTATCTCAATGTTGACAGTGCGAGATGGATATTTTTCCCGGAATATGCACCAACACAACTTAATATCCGCTGTCCCTATAAATGACTGAGACTTTGGAATTCCAACTGGGTTTTGCTGACATACGGAGACGATGATGATCTGACCGCCAACAGTACTAACTAAGCCGATCGGTTATTTCAGTTTATTTTATCTGCATCAGTAGCCGGCGGTTGAATAATGCGAAGGACCTACGTTAAATGTGAAGCATTTTGGGTCGGTCTACACAGAGCCTGGGCCCATGGAGAGGTACGCGGACCGTTTACTCAGTGGCTATCAATTGTTCCTCCGGCTATGCACCCATTCCATAGAAGTCCGTGAAAACCTTGTTTTTAATCTACCTGTGCCCAAATATGGGGGAAAGAGGTGTCAAGAAACTCTCTTGCATCCTACATGTCGTAGGGGACTTATTGCATATATATCCTTAGCACCTTATTCTGGCTCATAAGTTGTGGCAATGAGTTTTTTCCATCGAAAAGAATTACCTTGGCCGGTATGGTCATTTGGATCAATAGCAGTCTTCAATTCAGAGAAACGCTCAATGATAGGTCGTCTTTATGTATGTTACTGTTTCATCACCCGTCAAACTGTCTGCGCATGTGGTCAAGAGCTTTTTGTATCACCACTGGATCGAACCCTGCTTTCATTGATTCGATCCACAAAATCCGGTGCACTGACACAGTGTGGTGCCTTTGTACGTTTCTCAGAAAAGCTAATACTGATACCAGCGATGATTTGCACGCAAACTTCAGGGATACTTCGTAAATACGGAACGTAGGCTGATTATCTTTTCATATGGTATTAAATAAAGCGATTAAACTGACCGTTAGGCATTCTCTGCCACTTTCAATGAAAATGGAGGAAGGTTTTCTAGTCCAAGCATATCCTTTCATATTGACAAAATACTTCACGCTGACTCTCCTCTCGTGGTCAGACGATTCCATTACAGGCGATGTCACAGCAAGTATGCTGAATTATTCTTCAGAGCGCTCCTTATAACGATTCACTTGGCATTTTTTCATAATAAATCTTCATCTGATGAGCGCAGACAAACTCGAAACGCGCAATTGTTTGCAGTGTTTTCGGACAGGCGACACCCAATTTCCAACAAAATCACTTTCCTATCTTCCCTGGATATTGTCTCGCTGACAGATAGCTTTTTTACGCCCATGCGTTGAATGAGTTAGAACCGTACTTCCCTAGTGACATTGATCTCCGTCTCACGGGCTCTCGCTGGCCTTCTGCGACCTAATCGTACATCTCTTCAGGCTCTTAGGGATACGAAAAATAGTTACCCACCAGAGTCAGTCGAATCCGTCTAGATCATTCCACAGTTCTGACGTCTCAAGTTGCACGGATCTATGGCTTCGTGAGTGTTTCATAGCGCAGTGGAGACGATTTTAGTCGGCGTTCTGCCCATAAATCTCAATTGTTAGTGCTAGCTGCCGAGTTGTTTTGTTTTAATATTGCCTGGGTTACGATAGCAAGCCGCAAAGCAGGGCACCTCGCTGAGGCATGATCAGAATTCCTGCCTGTGTCTTCCAACGTGATGCTCTGAGGCTAATGGCAATTCGGTCAATGTGGGCCAAGTGAGACAACGCGACCGTTTGTGTTAGAGAAGGTGCTTCTATTGTAGTGGTTGTAGTTGGTACCTCTAACCCGTTATCTGTCCGCGTAAAATCCAGGGTGATCGGCTGATGGTGCGGTAGAATTTTTGAAGAGACTGTTCGAAGAACCGTATCTGATTGACACCTACTTTATACTTGGCTTGTATTCTAGGGATCTGTAGCATCTGCGATCAGTGGCCCTGTTTCACATAGTTTTGCTGTATTCACCTCCAACCGCTAAAGTTTGCTTCCAACTTGTGTTTGCCATGAATGCACCAATAGAATCCTTTGTGTGTATGGTATTTGGTACTACCACCGCAATTCCCTAGTCGAATCTTATCCTAGTTTCTCTGAATCTACAAGCATTGTACACGCTATTCCGGCACGTTGTACCTCGAGCTCCTCGTTAAAGTTTTCCTAGCGCCCTGCTTCTCTTTTCGAACTAAGATTTGAGATCTTGTGTCGTTTTTCCTATAGCTATTCATGATTTTATTCCGCTGTGAGACCTATGAATTCACTTTGTTTTTAAAGATGGTCCACAGCATTTGTACTATCCGAATTGGTCTATTCCCTTCAACCAGTGGTATTGGTTATTACAGTTTTGTGGCAAAACACCAGCTCTTGTTGTAGATTCGCATGTTAGCAGTGGCTACCAAAGTTTGAATGGCAAGCTAGATGCTTCCACTAACTGTATAGTGACTCAACTCGATTTCTCTAAGCGGTACTTTTTCACACGGGATTCTAGTTTCTCCCCATAACGCTCGCCACTTTTTCTCTCTCTCTCACCTTCAATTTTGATCTATCTTTTTCTGTCAGGAAATTACCACGAACGGAAAGCCAGAAGAAGATGTCGATGCCACCGCTTCTAGTCAACAATTTACACTTACCGAGGCATCGGCGATCGTCGATGGCGAGCCCCTTCAGACTGTTGTCTTGACCGATGAGCAAGGAAATGTGCTAGACCAGAAACAGGGTCGAACCGGTGAGCATGTGCTCATAGAGATGAGCGGTAATGCGTTGGAATACGTCTTTCTCGGACCGACAGAGGACGGCGGACCAATCACTGTAAGGTTCCTTACGGGTACAATGATTGCACCTTGTTGGTGGTCTTCTCCCGCGTTTATTTCGCACGCCCCCTCTTGTTCGTCTTTTGCAGACAACTCTGCTTGTCACTTCCGATCCGAATGTCGTGGGCAGTGAATCGGCTGATGACGCAGGTGCTTTGGGCCCCTATGACGCCAACGAAGCGATTTCTACGGTGGCAGATTGCTGTCCTGCCGGCTTACCGCTTGAATTCTATTCAGTTCTGTGTCGCCAGGTTGAGAATATTGTTGCCACTCGCATTCCCAGGAATCAAGATGGTTCATCGCTCTATCGACCGGAACCTTACCATCGTAAACTGGGTTCACTCTCAACCTATCAGCAAATGACCGAGTTGGTGAACGGCTATCGTGTTGGTGCCAGTCGAGGAGAAACTCTTGAACTGTACGAAAGCCTGCGTAACTTTGCTCGAATCTATCGCCCTTCTGGTCCACAATCGAGAGCTCTGACCAAGTATGAAGTAAGTGTTATTCAAAATTGACCCTCAACTTTCTCCCTGGTTAGTTTCGCGGATGATCCCAATTCGTGTGATTGGGGCGAAAGGATTGTTGCATTGGGTTAGCGTCCAAATAGCCTCTTTTCCCTTTGCCTCTTGAGCGCAGATTCCCTCTTCTTTATGCTTATGAGTGTTCGTTGGTATCTTGGTCTGCATGTAATCACTGTCGGTCTCTTGATGATTGGTCCCGGTGCACAACACTGGCAAATGCTTTCGATGTTTCTCTCATCATAACAGTCGCTGTTGGGACTCATTTTGGAACCTTGATGGAATTCGAAATGGAGCCTAGCTGTCCACGAAAGTCTTTTCATAGATGTTCTATTCCCTATTTGATATGAACATTCGTTTTCCTCCACGATTCACTTATCAATGAAGGTGCTTTAGTGCTGCAAAATGTGTTCTTCGATCACATCTGGCCATTACAGGTGACAGTTTGTTGTGTCCACGTGTCTTCCATATATTTATACTTTTTGTTCCCTGCATGACCGTTCATACTTTGAATTGTGCACCTTTGACGATCTCTCTCCCCGTCCCCCAGGTTGCCATGAATGAAGCAGCTGCACAGTTCAGTCGTTATCATCCGGGACTTCTGTTTCACAAACGGGAGTTGTTCCATTTAGCCAAAGAAACGGTGGAACAGTTACAAGCTCTTCTAATCAGTGAGAGGAAACCACAACAGAGTCAGGAGACGATTTCCCAGTTTCCCTCTCAAATTCAAACAGAGTTGTCAGTTTCAAAGCCACAACCACAACCGCCAGTGCAACCAACATCACGGTCGATACCGCCCCCCACAGCCGCCGTTAGCGGTCGAGTTGCCAACTCTCAACTGGCTTTGTTAGAGTCACGTGGCTTCTCAGGTATCAAACAACTAGCCTTGGGCAGCACATCCACAGGTCAGACCTCGTTCGTTGTCACCTCTCCCGTTGATCTGGTGTCTGATTCATCCGCTGCCGTCGACCGATCATCCAACACAACCACTTCCTTCACATCGAGTGACATCGCAAACAGCAATGAGTAAGTGGACAGGAGAACACGCGGCCCCGGTCTTTTTGTTCATTGGGCTTGATGCTCCTTCCCTTTTGGTTTTCTGTGCATCCATTTTTACTGCAGCTTTCGATCCCGCCGATTTTCCGAGCTTTCCGCCTCATGGTGTCTTGCGTTCGTTTCATGTCTAAACCAGTGGTTCTCAACCTGGAGGTAATTACCCCCAAGGAGATAAAATAGATTTTTAAGGGGGGGGGGTAAATATAAGTAGAGGATTGAGTCATCAATCTGCCACCAAACATAATTAGTAACAAATTCATACCTATCGAAACATCTAACTAATTACCCGATCACTCTTTACTAGCCATCAGTGGCTAAACATTAGTGAGTGGTCAGAGAATTAGCTTATTTCGGTAATAAATTTTATCACCCAAAAATATGAGTAAAAACCTGCAAGGCAGCGCAGCATGATGGGGTCTCTATCTACTCGCACGTCGATCATTGTTCTGCTGAGTTAGACATCCGTTCGTTGTGTCGAATTGCAGAGTTGTGTGAACACTAAGTTGTAAGCATAGGTCAGTCGACCAGGTAAAGGGGCGCGCGACAAAATAAGCGACTGGTTTTCAGGACGTGTTGGGAAGCTGTCATCCATGAAAAAGTTGGAAGGGTGGTTGAAACAAATAAGAAGTTACTGACACTCATTCATGTTTGATCAGGGATCGCACACCAAGGCACGAAACTGTATGAACTTGGAGCACGACTTATGATGCGCATTAGCCGAAACCGCACCAAATATACTGGAAATGTTAGAACTAGGCAGGATCAACCGTCCCGATAACGTACATCACCTCTTGATTTAATAAAATATTGCTCGAAAATAGGTGACCAAAAATAATTAAAAATCGTGTTAATTTACCATACTTTAAAGCAAAATGCAAAAATTACTAGTTAATTAGCTCTTTAACTAAATTTTCTGAGGGGGTAATTATTTATAGTAAACCAGTTTTGTGGGTAACAGTCTCAAAAAGTTTGAAAATCACTAGTCTTAGCGGTAGTAACATACATTTTACTAACGATTTCTGCCTTCAGACTCTGAATTTCTGTTACTACGCGTCCCTTGCGTCTATTCACGTTCGTTTTATGCTATTATCGCCGCTCAAACCACCTATGGGACAAGTTCCATCTCCTCTACGGTATGTGCAATGACAGTTGCTCACTGTTATTCAAAGAGTACCTGCGGCAAACCATGTAATCACAGGCAACTGGTTGGTGGGATACTGACAGACAAGTGCGGGGATTCGAACCAGAGGCGCGGAGGGTAGTATTACGATTTGAGCCCCCGCCTCTATCCCAGCGCATTTGCATCCGCTTGCGCTGACAGCAATGGCGTATCCACACAAATTACTGATATAGTTCTCTGTTATTTGTCTCCATCGTTTCTGGCTCCTCAAAAGTGCGTCCAATTTTTTACACGATGCCTATCGTTGACTCAATGCCCGCCTTCCCTCAAGCCTACTATATATCAATCGGATTGGAATCCACTCTGAAATTCTACCTGGTACCACATGACCGTTACGTTTGAATTGATTCATTCACAGGAGTAAAATCCTTCTCTTCGTTTCCTCTTAGTTTAATGCATCTACCATCACTAGGAGCGTCCTGAAAGAGCCGATCCTTGCTTTGATCTTTGTTGCTTTCAATAGATTTTTCCTTTCTTTGCAGCACGCGCTATTATCCCGGAGTACATGTTATGAAGAGGGACTCCTTTAACAAGGTATGTTTCCGTGACCGACTTCATTGGGAGTGACAGTGCATGCTGTGTTATGTATTCCACACACACACACACACACACACACACACACACACACGCAAAACTAGTGCCTTAAACAAGACCACTAACTCGCTTTTACTGTCTTATCGTTTTTGCCGTTGACTACAACTTTGTAAAACTGCCTTATTCGTTATTGACGATTTCTTTTTTCATATCGAACTAGTCGACAGACTTGTAACGTTCGACCATCGCTGCTTTCGAAGCTTGTCTCATACTGGTGAGTACACTGCGTGGGCAATGAGCGTGTTCGGTGTCGCGCATTTGGTGTAGGAAGCGCGAGTGAACCGTTCAGCACCATTATATCACGCACCAGGCTCTGACGGCTGGGCCCCATATTGCGCATGCCAGCACCCCGAGTCCCGTGATGTGCGTCGTTTGTGCGCCGGGGGTGTGCATGTAATAAGAGGAGGGACCGTCAAGCGTTGGCTTGGTTAGTAGTTATGAAGTCCCTCACTTCGAACTTGGCGTCGTTTGATGCTTATCGACTGCCGAGCTAGGGTTCGAAGGACGATGAACACGTCTGGTTGGATACACTAGTTGACGTGGCGAAGCGCCGACCACAATGGCGTTTGTGTAACGAGTCACTTTGTCCCTCCACTCCGCTTTAGCTCCCTTCCCCAATAACGATTTGGACCCGATGCATGATGTGATATTTAGTATTGTGTTACTTTCCTTGTTTATATACTCTGTAATGTTTCATCTCATGTTTTTGTACTGCGGCACATTAGCTGAGGTGTGTTTCTCACCCTCGGCGAACTTGTATTGACGGGATTGATGACTTGTGTCAGCGAAACGATGGTTCGACGTACCAGCGTACGGTTGATGCCAGTGCTCTTTACAGCTATACAGTCTGGCACTCGTATCCAAGCGGTTGCCAGATCGTTCTTACCGTGCTCCTTAGTCTTACAACTGCGGTAGGTTGTGGAACCAGTATATTTGCATCCTGTCCGGCCACCGAACCAGTGCACCCATCGAATACCTTCAGTTCAGTTCAGTTGATTAACTAAGATAGCTTTATTGGAGTGCAATGTATCACGTTACCAAGGCAGTGGAAATGACGTGATCCGCGCCAGAGGAATGAGAAATTAATGCAACAGCATTTCTGACTTTTGACCTCGCTACTTTCTATAGAGTGTAATGGCACTGGTGTGGCCGTCTCAAGGTCCTCATCAGACAAGTCGACAAACATCCACTCCGACCCTGCTGTTCAGCGAGTTTGTTCATGCCTCGCCATGCCATTGATTGGCCGTCGGGGGTTTCACCGACTTAGGCACAGTTTTGACGTGCAATAACTGCGGAAGCAGTTGGCTCGCTGGTATTCAGGACAAATGGCCGAGCCACTGAAGATTCAACAGGCGCTCTACTGGCCCGTAATCTTAAGGATCACAAGCCTGTCTTGTAATCCGAAGGCGCGGGTTCGAGGCTGCATAGGGACCGCGCGACGCTCGCGGTATCCTTAGCCCATGTATGACTGGTGGTAGTTGCACGGCAGCGGTACTGCGTACCGTCTGCGTGCCGCCTGAAAAGCACTAAACGCCCAGTGTTGTTTCGTCAGTAGCGCACATCCATCGGCTCCATCAGGATCAGTGACCATGACAATCAGACGTCTGCGCTACTAACCAGCAGCAAATGCCACTGGGCAATGGAAACTGCTGAGGAGCGTCAACACTTGCTAGCTAACTGTGGTATAATGTAATTCATGGCCGAGCCATTGTGGATTCTGCAAGCACTCTACCGAGACACCACAGAGCGGTGGCAAACACCAAATAACGAGCCACAGTGTCACTCATTTAGATCTTCTGCTAAACGGAGCAACGCAGTGTGACCTTCGCTGGTCAATAACGGCCAGTCTCCTAATGGCCTCGGCGCTCATAGCTTCGAAATCTCTTCTTCACACAGCAATACTGATCGAACCACGAGGCTGTAAACCTTTGTCTGTTAACCAGAAGACTTTGGAGTACCATTTGAGCGTCCGCTATGTTTGTGCTTATTTCTTCGGTGTTGCAAACATCAGCAGTTATACAAATACTGATTGACATTTCGCTCGGTTCTCCCATGATCTTGGATCTTATGCCATATCAGCCAAGTTTTGTGACGCTGCCGTGCGTTCGAAGGACGCAAGCTACCTCTTGATGCTCGAAGCGCTATCTCTCTGTCTATCCATTGTTCTCTACATATCAGCCGCGCTGGATTTAAACAAATTTGTTTCCCGCTTGCTCGGAGGAAGTAGAAAGCAAGAAAGAGTGATCTGTGACCATTCAGACTACAAAGCGGAGAAAACATAGGTATAGTTATCCTGACCTACCCCGCTTCGCACAGCTAACTCAGGGAAGACTTTCTGTCGATTCCTTACATCGTGGCAAAGACTCCGATAAAGTGATTTTAGAATGGCGCTAAATTTCTCATACATAATCGACACCAAGTGTCGCCACGAGAAATAATTATCAATCGAATGAAGTGCAGCCGCTCAGTCAAAGAATGATACGCTGATAGGTTGCACGTGAATATGACGATGCGGGGCTTGTCAAATAGCGAAAGTCATCGACGCATTAGCTGTTGGCGGATCACAGGTTGACCCACCGGCTCGTCTCACTCGATGATCAGTGAGTCGCCGTGACACAATGCGCATCGGCTTTTTGGAGGCAGTTGGCGAGATGTCTTTGGTTTTTTAATATGGAAATGAAGGTTGATAGCCGCCAACCAGGAATCACCTCTAAGTGCCAGATGTCGAACAGACCGGCTGAGGCATTCACCCCTGTGTTACCTCAGCGACGGTAGAAATTCGTCCGCGCCACACTTCTTGTTCCGCTTAGTTCACTCCACCTAGTGTTGGATTTTGTGAGTGCAACATCCCTACTTGAGGACAGTTCCAATACAGTGGGCCAGATAAGTTGCTTTCATCATAGCGATTGGCCTTTTCATGAAGGTCTGTACAATGATGCGTTGCTATTTTGGGGCCGTATGTGGTGGCAACACCGAGTTCACAGTGATGACGTTCGACTTCGCGTTTTGGGGAATTCGGGTATTCCCTTCAACAAGCCACTTAAGATGTCTCCATCACGTCCTACGCATGGCGCCACGCTCTACTCGCTCGTTCAGGACCGGGCTGGAGGCGACCGCGTAGTGATCAGCCTTCCACTTGGCGACAGCACATGAAATCGCTGACGTTGCGTCTAACCGTCGATACACCGTACGCTTTCCAGGATTAAGACCCAAGAACGAGGACTGCCAATGGCTTACTACGTTTTAAAACGTGGCTTGCAACCGGAATCATTGGAAGAATTGTGTACAGAATTGCATTGATTCGCACGTTTAATACCTCAAACTTTGAAAATAACATTAAGAGGAAAAATGCACACGTGCAAAACAAATGAACGTTCCGTTCTGTTTTTTTCCAAATTGTACTTCCCTTTGATTCCCATATATATATATATATATATATATATATATATATATATATATATATATATTAGGCCCGTGGCGTAGCTCTACGCTATCGGGCGCGTCCCTATGTTACGGATCGGGGAATGCCTTCCTTGTGGAGGTAACTGTGAATAAGCCTTGCAGGCGAGATGAATACGTTTTCGCGGACAATCCGCGACAGCGCCTTAGAGCGTGGAGAGTTCTGGGCTGGTCACCTGGTTCTCCATCAAATACCACAAGAGCTCGTACGGCGCTGTGTCAAAGCCAATGTGACCGGCTATAAGGTCACGGACCACTCACTTCTGTAACCAAAAGTGAGTACCTAACGGAGGGTGGATGAACAACCTTGTTGTCCACCGGCTTCTCTGTGGACTGCTACTGAACACAAAGAAGCCGAATGTGCTACCCAGATATCAACTGTCTCCGTTAATCGTCCCGCTGCCTTGCTGGTCAGGTCTTTTTGACCAAAGACTCGGGGTGGGGTCCCTTAAGCCTCTTCCTTGGCCTGGGCAACCGGGAAGATCTCTGCCCGTACAACACATTAACTTTGTAAACATTCTAAACCTTTTCACTGTATGCCTGTTTTCCTTTTTTTGTTGCAATTGTCGTTAACTATGTGTTGTGACACTGTCAAGTGTATATTGGTTAGGTGTTGAGTAATAATAGTAATAATAATATCCCTTAGATACCTAAAGCTGTAACGTTACTTGGACCGTTATGTGTGGATCGCGTCCCGAGCACTGCGGTTTGTTGACGCCTGCTTTGTTTCGGCTATGCACACCCGCAGAGCATTATTCTCCCTACTACCATCATAGTGGTGGGTTTTACTTCGGCCCACCGGTACTTCCTCACTCTTGTCTGCTATCTTTGATGCATTTGCATTTCTTACACCGATTGATGCATATTCCTCACCTGCTTCCCAGCCATTTGCCATGTTGTGGTTCGTTTTCCAACACTACCATTCGTGCGTGTGACGAGCGATGTTGTAGCAATATCGTACAAACTGTAATCTGCTGGACTGCAGCACCTTAGCTTTTTTCGCCCATGCGGAACATCTCACATGATCAAGTCATTGGTTAGTTTATGAAGCGAAGAGAAGTGCTTTTGCCGTGCTCTTCCCGTCATCTTTTATATTTCTCGATTTCTGCCCTATTAACCGTACCTTAGTCACACGTCAACTGATCGGCCGTTTTTTTCTCACCTCTTTTGCCAGCTTTCCTCAGCGCAAGAAGAAGCACTACGTACTGCCGCAGTAGAGCTGATCGTGGACTTGCCGCGTTATGACCTGAAACCAAAGGCCGATTGCACAAATATTGAACTAGGCTGCTGGGAACAAGCGAAACAGTTGGCTTCTCAGGCCTTGGACACTTCATCCGAAACGCATTCCAAGATAAATTCGCTGATATGTAATGAGAAACGCGTTGAAGCGGTTCGTGAAGCCGCTGCGCTCTATGGTAGAACGCCCGGTAACTCACAGTTTCCCGGACCTCCTAGTGGCGTGTCTCGCTCCTCTCCCGTCTCAGCGTTAATCCCATATGAGATCGCTTGCAATGAAGCTGCGTCCTATTTAGCGGCAGCAGTTCCTCAGCTGCTTACGCATAGACGAGAGTTGTCCGAACTTGCCAAAAAGATAGTACGGAACTCCGGTTGTTTGTTCACCAACACTGTCAGCACAGATAAAATGTAAGTGTTTGCTGCACATCTTTCTTCGCCCCGTCGTCTTTCTTCGTCTCTGTTCCTTACTTATGCTTTTCTTCTAAACTTTTCCTCCCTCCTCCCCCCCCCCCCCCAAGGATTGTTGGCAGCGGTGGCTACCGATTCTTCTGCTCTGACCAGCTTCCTGAACTAGATTTATCTGCGGCCGATCAACTACTAACAGACCCGTTAGATCGCAGTGATTCGCCCGACTCCGGATGTTGTTTGGCTATGAGTGAACCCGAAATGGAGAATGTGGTCCGTAAGTGTACACCTTGCTTCATACCGGGAAATCGTGGCCACACTTGTTTGTGTATTTATTTTCTTACTTGTTGATTGCTTTTCCGAGCTTGGTAAAGAGATCGCATACGTTTCACCACCATGCGAGGTGGCATCTTCAGTGCGGTAATAGGCAGAAAACATGCTCCCATTCTTGGATGTGTTGGTGACCAGAACAAACGATGGTGAATTTCAAACATCCGTTCACAGGAAAGGGACATCTACGAATCAAATTTTGAACTTCTTTAGCAACCACCCAAAGTGCCACAAAATAAGTTGCGTGCGGACACTATTTCGCAGGACTGAATCACACTGCAGTACAGTGGAAGCCAAACGGGAAGAAGAGAAACACCTATTTGATTCGTTCGAGCGCAATGGTTACCCACGCAGCTTCATTCGCAGATGTCTAAACCGTAAACTTATGAACACCGAGCCGATACCAAATGCAAGCAAGAGGGTCGTTTTGCCGTATATGAAGAACATATCTGAAATGACTGCCAGATTGTTCAAGCAATACAACATCGTGGTCGCTCATAAACCAACCGCCACTTTGAGCAGAATACTATCAAATCCAAAGGACATTAGGAATGCACAAGAACGAACAAACGTCGTGTATAAAATACATTGTAATAATTGTGAAATGAACTATGTGGGGCAGACAGGAAGGAAATTGTCCACAAGAATACACGAACATCAGAGGGCTTGTAAAAAGCACTATGCATCGTCTCTTGTCTCAGCGCATGTGGATGAGGAGGGACATAGCTTCAATTGGAACAAAACGGTCATTTTAGCTCAAACAACGACACAGAAAGGAAGAGAGTTCCTAGAAGCATGGTACTCCTCTAATAATTCGATCAACATGCGCATCGACATCGACCCCGTGTACCATCAACTCAGAAAGAAAGATCTCCGGCGAATCGCAAGACGTGGTTCAGCCGTGAAAGCAAATGGGCAGAGATCACGTGGCGCAAATCGAAGTTGCCACCTTCAAAAGTCACCTGCCCGTGGATGACGGACTGACAATTCAATAAGCAGCATTATACACTGCCTATTACCGCACTGAAGATGCCACCTCGCATGGTGGTGAAACGTATGCGATCTCTTTACCAAGCTCGGAAAAACAATCAACAGGTGAGCAACCAAGCCGGGCTACCAGTGTTCCAAATTATTTCGAATTTATTTTCTTGTTTGTCCGCAATACTCCTACTCTACTTACTGCGAGTTCACTTCACTCTTTTTTAAAAACAACGGTGTTCCCTTAATGAACACCACCTTTGTCACCCCATCCTTTCTACATCCAAAAGATCTGTTGATCGCCTGCTCCTATTTGTTATTCTACCTCAACGTGTCCTGTCACTGGTCACTTCGATCTTTTTCCTGCTTTCTTGTTCTGACTTTTGGAGACACACCTGTTTACGCGATTCTTTTTTATTACCACAATCCAGTCAACTTTCCGACTCTCAGTCTGACTTGCGAAGAATGCAACAACGTGATTGATGACGTCACCATTTACACAGCTACTGGAACTGATTCGTTGAAAAAGGTTCGGATTCTAAAGTGAGTGTGAATCGTTTTCTATCCGCTGCTGCTACTCTCACATGAGCTCCGTCATTAGTTTCTGATCGAGATGGATGTCGGGTTTTACCCACCCGAAAAATGCTCCATTCCACGACCGCATTTAATCACGTTTTACGCTAGGTCTCTCGTTGCTGCTCTTCGTTCCCTAGGTCATCGTGGTTGTATGGCAGTGAAGCATCAGTTCATGTGGCTGATGTATTGCGGTTGGTGATGGTGATGATCGGATACTGGAACACGGCCAAGAAGGGCAGTTTTCGGGCGGGTTACGCCCAACATTTACGTCCTTCAGTTACGGTCCCCGTGATCGAATTGACCAATGTTCCCTTCAATCCATATCGCGGTCTATATCATGATTGCGCGTCGCAATCTATTTATACAACGTATGTATCGAAATAATCCCTCCAACCGATATATCCTGATCGACTTTTTACGATTGAGTTTGCAAAAATGGGGGAAGACGCCCCCAGATCGTCCGTCTACACAGCAACCACTCAAAGTGGTTCATCGGTTCACGCATCTAGGTTTCTGTAACTCCTGTGGGGATCATATCACCGAATATGTTGTTACGTAAATTGAAATTGCTCAGACAGCTTTTCTAGGCCTTAGCCACCTGTGGACACAGCGGACCACAAGCTTAGCAGCTAAAGAAAGTGGCTTTTCCACTGATTATACGGATGATCTGCTGCTACTGCGCAAACTAATCGACTGACCTTCCAGGATGGAAGGCAGAGACCTCAGGTGAAAACTATATTGAATACCTGGCAAGCAGAGTATGCAATCAAATATTGGGATCAAATAAATTGTTAGTAAGGAAATGACCCGGTGCCCACTGACAGGCTTCAAGGTAGACTATCCTCATTAGTAGCGTTCAAGGTGAGGCGTCATCATTAGTCATGCTCTCATTTCGTCAGGGCTGCTAGTAAAGAGGTGTCGGCACCCTTAGCAGGAAAGGTCTGCAAAGCTGCGGTGCAGCAGGTCTTAACGTACGGATTACAGATTATCGCCACCCGCTAAGGATAGTAAAAGTGTATTCTTGCTTAATCATGTACGTTCGCGGACCATTGCTCATGTTGTTGGGGAACCGTGCGACTAGTTGGCGTTTGCAAGAGCTCTTCTAGTGCTTCATTAAAGCATCCGTTTGTATTGAATCACCTACATCGATATCAGTACCTAGCTCTGTACGCTTGCGAGCCCCGACTGCCTCTGTATTGTTCCTCGTTTGGGCGAAACTATGGTGACCAGAGGATGACATGGTAAAAAAGCATGTTAAAAGCTCACCAAAATGGAACTGAGTAGATTTGGCGCTTTCTATCTTCCCTAACCAAGTCCACTGGATCCTCTATGTCATTGGTTTTATATCTTACCGGATACATCACCTTCTCGAAGTCACTGATGCTTTTATCCCCATTCTATTTTGAATTATTCAAACAACAGATAAGTAAATATATATTTATTTCTCGACGGGCGGAATACGTTCCCTTTTGTGAGACGATTATTTGTACGGCGTACTTCATCTATGGATTTGTGTTCAACGTAAACAGGTACTGAAATGATTTGTGCAATATGTAATATTTAACAGACTATTGGAACTTTAATCTTACTATGTTCCTCGGGCTGGATTCCATGAAGGCCGTCGTAGTTTACTGACTGCCGAAACATTTGACCACATTTGTCATGAAAAGAAAATTTTTTAGATGATATTTAACGATACACAGGCTTTCGGTAGTCCATAATTGCAACGATGGCCTGTTCCACAGATAGGCATACCTCATTAGGAAAAAAATTTAAGCGAATCTTTCGCTTGGCCTTTTTTCCAACTACTAGTGGAATATATCTGGTCATTCTGTAAAACAACAGCTGTGTTGGTTGATAAGACTCGCGAATATATTATACTCTAGAGAAGTGGGAAGTTGCTGTTCACTAGTCGAAGCCAGGGTGAGTCAAGCTCGAGATAAGAACATAGTTTTCTCTAGGTAAGCGTTGAGGCACGCCACATGATCATTTTGGTAAATTAGCACGAGACGTTTTCTAAAACATTTTCACCTGTTCTGCGTAAGTGGCTCTCTGTGATGATGCACATTCTAGTGTGGGTCGCACTATGAGTTCAACTGACCTAGTGATGTAGCTGCTTCGCTTTCGCTACTTGATGTTTGATGTGTTCGGAGTTGTAGGCTGCTTTGAGTCTCGAATTCCAAGGTTTCGAACGGAATACGCACTTGGGATGGGTTCACCAGTAAGAGTGACGGATCCTTCCGTTACACAGCATCTGTGGCCATCTGAGATTTGTCTGCTGAAAATATCATGGATCTGCCCCGTCTGTGTCAGTCTTTGACCATTCACAAGGCGGTGACCGGAGCAAAGTGGACAACTATCGGTCGTTCTGCTTTGGCTAGAACACCTGTGTAGATCGTTATATAAGGTCTTCTATGGCTACTCAAGTCGAAAACCCTCCAATCGCCCGAACAGTGTTACTTCCTGAGAGCTCACTCTGTTCTTAACGAAGCACGAATTTTTACAAGCGCGGAACCAGAGGAAGTCGGTCGACGTCATTTAAGTTAACTTTAGTAGAGCGTTTGACAAGGTAATTCGCGAGGTGCTTCTCCACAGGCTGTGGTTGTGTAGTGTTATTGGCTTGCTGCACCATTGGGTCAGGAATTTCCTTCCTGGCCAAAAGTGGAGGGTCTAGGTGGACAATCATCTGACACTGGTATCCCTCGACCAGTGGCGTGCCCCAAGGCAATGTGCTGGGCCCCGTTTTGTTTCTGATTCCTATAAAACGGTGTGCATCAGCTACTCCTTCCGCCTCGTACATCGTTTGCAGACGACTTGAAGGTGTGGAGAGTATTCAGAGCACCTGATGACTGTGACTTGTTTCGGCGTGACCTTGACCAACTTTCTATGTGGTCTGCAGAGGTCAACCTTCCGATAAACCCGATCAAGTCGCAATTTATGAAGCTGGGTTACTGTGAACACAGTCGAACTATGGCCGGTCAACTGTTACATCCCGCGCCTTTAGTGCGAAACCTCGTTGTACTCTTACGCTACGACCTAAAGTCCATGGACAACACAAATAGGCTTTGCCGGAACGGCTTTCGTGTGCTTTGGGTCTTAAGCACAGCTTCTGCACCTGTTCCGAAGAGATTGCCGCTCACTTCTCAATTATCTGACGAATGCTAGATTGCGGTTCAACTATTTACTGTCCTACAACCCAGGCCGAAGTACAAATGATGAGCGAGTACAGCATGTGGCCACCAGGCTTATCCCCATTTCACACGACGTACCGTATGAAGACCGGTGCAATATACCATCTTTTATTGTTAATTGCAAGTTGACGTCCTCTTGACTTACCGCACGTTGCATCTTTGTGATTACCTCATGGTGTGGCCTCTGCTCTATATGCACGCACCAGGCAGCACACGGGGACACCGGTACAAGCTTGGAGCACCGGATTTGAAGCACGTCGCTTACCAACTCTGTTTTGAACGGAGTGTGGTGAATATATGAAGCAACTTGCCACCGCACGTAATGGAATCGAAATCGGTGTTGGCATTCAAGAAATCCCTTTACGAACATTTTGCCGATATGAACTATCGAGAATGGTGGTCAACACAATTGATCAGCACATCTGGGGCGTTTTAGATGCATCTACACAGATATCTCTTCTTGGCCTTTCCATTCAGTAATCGTTATTATTATTATTATCGTGGTTATTATTTATTTTGATTACATCAAACAAAACAGCCCGTCCCCACACACCGGTACCGACGGATTACATTCGTTCACTTAGATTAAATTGGCATGTTTTTAACTGGTCCGTACACCGCTTGCCGTGCGTACACGTTGGGGATGTATCAAAGGTGCCTAGTTTTTGTGGGCCATGGGTTAAATCTTTCATCCCCCAGTGTCGTGACAACCAGCCACAGCGTCTTAGCTTGCTGCATTCTTAGGCTCGAAATACTTTGGACCCTCGACCTTTCAAAAAAACTCGTTCAATCCAGCGTCGAATCATTATGTGATGGTCATTAATCAATGAATACTGAGTACCTAACGAGTGGCGAAAGAACACCATCACTGACCATTGGCTTCAATGTGAACTCGTCATTCGGATACCGGACATGCTGTCAGTGGCTTTTAGGTATAACTGCGGGTTTGGTGGTTCAGGAAACGTTTGCTGGCTTCTGTGGTACCATGTGAGAGTTCTCTGGACGTCCTAAATGAAGTCACCAATGCCCTGGTAGTTTCGTTGCAATGCAGCTGCAAGCAGTCAAGAGGAATGAAGGCCCTTTACTTTGACATAGGCCTCGGTTAGGGCCTGTCGGTTCCATAGTTGGGGACCGAAAGACGATAATCACCTTTGGCTGGATACACTTTTTGATATGGCTAGAAGCCGACCTCAATGACATTTGTGTTGTGAGTTTCTTTGTCCCTCCCCCTCTCGCTTAGCCCCCCTCTAACCACGATCTTTTTATTAACCATAATACAACTCATTTTTGCGGCACTATAGCCCACGGCAGCTCTCTGGTACGATGTCCATTCGTTACTGGTTACTAAGCCGACCTGCCTTTTTCTTGTTTGTTTTTCTTTTCTTTTTTATTGTAATGTTTTTATTGTGATGTTCTCCATCTGCAGCTAACGTGTATATTGATGATGAACCACAAGCGGTTGCAGGCATACTTGAAGTATGCATCAACTCATACAGGAACGCGCACTCGACCCCATGACACGGAACTCGCGAAACAATCACTTGAACCACCACATTATAGATTCTACGCGTTCTGAGTAATCCGATGTCACTGGAAACCCGTGTTTTCCTTGCCTTGGTTACCATTAAGTCTCTTTTCCTTTCGATTATGTTCAACTGTCTTCTCAGTCAATTGATTCTCCTTAGGATTGATTGCTGTTCGGTCTACAGGTCTAGCAACGCTGCACTCATATTTTCTCTGCGATAATTACGAGTCCCGTTGATGCAACGTGTCATCATGATTAGACAAACTACGACCCACGAAGTTTTCCGCGCACATTTTCTTATCGTCTTATCCACCGGCGGTAAAATCCGATTGTAAGAAGTTTTGAAAAGTACAGCAAGGAGACGACATTTGGTAAATGCAAGCATTTCGTGTTGTATCTTTAGTAGCAATAACAACCGATGAGAAACTACAGCAAATGGTAGATGTGTCCAAAAACGAAGTAACAAACTTTGGGATCAAGATTAGAGCAAGCGATTCGGTCTTTATGTCCACGGAAGTTTGAGACTGACGAATAGCTGTTTATACACGCACAGCATATGATGCATTCGGCTAATCGCTATAGCCTCAGCGAAACGTTTTTGAGTGAGCTCACGCTGATCAATGTCTAAAAGCCCGTTTGTATGACCATAACGGTCCAACTGGCCGTCCACATTGACCAGTTACCCACTATGAATTCAGTGTTCCCCGACGTGTGGATGCGTCAACGCCATCTGAAATCCACGTTGCCTACTAACGTCACCTCCCAAATCACCGCAACACCTCTGATGCAGGCGAACAAGCTCTTTACAAAAATTAAAATTCACTGGTGTGCCAGTGTTGGGAGGAGCAGCACCCAAATATTTTCATTCCATTTCTTATCTATTGATAAAACTCTATTTTTCGAGTGACTTGCACCATGGGATTCATCTCGTCCTACTAAGGTTTGGCAGATGTTTTTATCGTCCTTAAATGGTCAGCAGCACAAAACGCTTTTTGTATCTAAATAGCTCACCCGTCTGATCATACGAAGGCTCATTCAGGTATGCGGACAATGCATTCATGAAAGGCGAGCTAGGTTTTTGTCAGCTCAGGCCCACCAAATACTCCAAGAACAACAAGCGTCCGGTTTGCCAAAAACATAAGAAGCTCATTGTACTCAGTTGGCTGCTTGAAGTGGTCTATCTATAGCTGAATTTTAGAGTAGGTTACCCTTCCTCGGGCGATTTTTAGCAGACTTCGAGAAGGGGTATAGCTGTGTTTCGCCTTCTGGTATTCGTGACCAAGCCGCACATAGTGCGATTCTCGAAGTGCGGGAGAATGACCTCGTACATGCAGAGAAGAAGCGGCAAGCAGCGATGGGTTGTGCTCCATCGACATCAAGTGCGTGGTGCTGTAGCACATGCAGTCGCGAGTGCCTGGGTCAGGCAGGCTTAGTGAGCCACTCGGGACCACTACCGAAGCGACCACGGGTCCTGCAGAGAACGTAGGCAGAACCAGCACAGCGTTTGTGGGTACACTGCATTCGATTTACTAACCGCGTGCTTGCATGTAAAGTTTATTTTTTCAGGTGGTGGGTTTTCAATTTTGTCCTAATGCTTTTCTTTCTCACATAAATGTTTACCTGTACGCTCTTCTATAAACCTGCACACATCGCTTAAGCCAATTGTAGTTAATTTCGATAAGATTTTCGCGTTTGTGTCATTTCCGTAAAATATACTTTATGACCTCTTGAACTTATCTTGGATCCTTTGTAAACAACTTATTTCATATGCTCATTACTTTAGAATTGTTGTCACGTTTCATTATGCATTACTCGATTTATTTTATTTGTTATCTTTCTCTCAAGTGATTGGCTGTTACTTGATATCCCCGGTGTGGCTGCGCTTGATGTGCATGTTGACAAGGTGCCTACCTGTCTATACCCACTACCTCGTCCATACTGGCTCTAGGAGACAGTTGGTCGTTGCTGGAGGGCACAGGGTGCACGGTTCTTATGGTCGTGTTAGGATCAAAGAGTGGTTCCATGCAGTCAGTGTGGAGCGGACTACGGTCCAGCCACCGCCTTGTGTGTGCGCTTGATTCCCAAATACAGCGTATTTGTGTTTGCCTGTGAAGGAATGTGGGCCGGCTCCGTTGATGAAAACTGGCTTTCATCCACATGCCTCCCGGTCTTATTCCCTCGGTTTTACACTGGATATGGGTGTGTGGTTGGAGCTATTGGTGGTGCAGCGCAAGTCACCCATGGTCCCTCTGTAGGCGCAGGCGTCCTGTGGATGGCCACAGTGTCAGGCAAATCCGAAACCGGATGCCGCCAAGCATATATTCATTTTTGCAACAGTCTAGGAATAGACATAGAGCCATCAGAAACCATGGGACTCAAAAGAAGGTACAGAAATTGTAAAAGAAAACACAACACAACACGTTTAAGTCCATGGTTTCGTCATAGGGCGAGATACTACCCAGTTGACCAAGCCGAAGTAGGGTGTTAATTTAGAGGACACCACCCCGAGCCTTTGGCTGAATATCCTGCCCACAAGACAGCGGAGTGAATTCAGGGAATCGCGCCCTTTGGGAGGCGGTGACTGATTGCTCAGTTCATACGGCTTTTGTTTGTTTCTTTGTCAAACATTGGCCCAATGCTCCCCAGAATTACAGCATAAATTTGCTGGAATACAGTGCTTCTTATGGATGAAGCAAAGGGCAATGACTTTATTTAGTGGCGAGTCACTTCCGCCACGTCACAATGTTGTTAAACGGACATATGTGGCTTTTTACAGGGAGAACGTTTGTCAGGCGAAAACCCACCATATCCTGAAACACTTCTGCTGAACGATTTGCTGGAACGGGAAAATCCCGAACCACCCAGCTGACACCACGAGGAGGTTTTTCGGCAATCTCTTACATTGCGACCTATGTAAGTTGTTTCACATGAACAAGTTAATTGACACGCACAAAAGAAGATGGCATCTGCAGACAATTTATCCTCCAGCTATAAATGTAGCACGGGTACGGAAGCGTTGCAAACCCCGATGCCTTGCGGCGAAACACCTGTTACACTGAATACATCTTCTAGCCTGCTGCTAATATGTGTGGCTGTGTTATCATCTGTGGAAAGATTTCTCTTCTGCCGTCAGTCAGTCCGCATGGTTCAAAGGTCATCCACCCGGTCTACCGCTTTAGGTGATTCCGCTCCAAACTGACCAAGTGTTGCATACTTGCAGTGTCAATAACAGAGGCGATCGTGGTTTGTTTTTGTGTATCATCAATGACATGGTACAGTGTTGCCCAGCATAACCTTTCCTGTTCCCCTTCCTTATGGGAGGTGGCATCCCAGCGTGTGCCCTGGAAATTTACTTGCCCGGTGGTGTCATTACTCTCGGCTTCGCTTCTCTCACATTCACCTGGTTATGTGTACATCAGCGATCTACAGTCATACCTATCTGTATTATACCCTGTTCTCAACGAACTGGTCAGAATTGTGTTTTCACCCATTACTCTTTTTAGTTTGCTTCATTCTTCCCTATCGGTCGCGTATTCGGAATATCAGATATCCTAACACCTTGTTGGTTGTCTTCAACTCTCTTTTCCTCCTTTTCTCCCCCCTTGCTATGCAGTCTTAGCGACTGTGGATTTACCGGTTTAGTGCCTATGCACCTCAATCAGTGCACCTCTCTGATTGAGTTAAATCTCTCTGGCAATGCATTGTACGCTTTTCCACGCTGCTTGCATTTACCAAAATTGAGACGTCTCAATCTTCGCAATAATCCACGTTTACTTCGGCAGTCCACAGCCAGATCTGTATTGGAACCTCCATTGGTTGAACAGTTTCCTCGTTTACAGTCGTTGGAACTCGATCCACAACTTGCCAAGGTGCGTCACATGTCCCTCTTATGGGTGTTCAGAAATTCTATACGCCCGTATTTATGTGTGTCACTACAAAGCTTGTTCACCGATTTGTTAAACGCCTCTATAGCTTTTAAGCGTTGTCAATCAGCTGCATTTCGCTTCCTTCTTATCACTGTGATCCTTTTCGTCGCAATCTGTTTTGATTTGATTTGCGCGAACTCCTTCCAAACAGCATGCTCACTGAGAACCCGGAGCGGTGCAGCCGACTTGTGCGTTAGAGAACGCAGTCTAGAGGGCATTATAACTCGAACACTAAACAATCTGGCCATTTTGCGCACTACATTCTTTGCGCGGTTTTGACTCCCTATTCCGCTATGCGCTTTCATTCACAACCTATAGTTGGTGGCTGATGTATGCACCACGTGCCATTCGTCCGCATTGATCCATACATTCTCTGATTTCATCACGCATGCTCGTTTTCCCTATACTACTCGTCAGTAGGACACTACATGTTTGCTGCTCTACGAATCAAAGATTGGTTAACCTTGATTTCCTATCCTACCTTGACTGCTTACATTCATGAAGCCTGTTTGAAAGCTGTTTATTTATTGGATTCGTCTTTGCTCTGTACGCTTACTTCACGACCTTACAATCCCAAGCAGCTGTACACCCATGTAGAAATGTGAACTCGAACCTATAACGTAGATGTTACAAACCAAGTGGCTGAACCGCTACACCATGTTCCCCTAAATCGGGGTGATATGGGTTTTCTAGAATTCATTGTGTTAAGATCTCGCATTGCGTACTTGTCAAGTATTACTTCAACAAAGAGCGGTTATATGATGTCCTGTTTTTTTACAACCTCGCTTGAAACGATCACGCTCTCCGCGGGTTCTAACCCCATTGAATGTTAGAAATCGACGACCTCGACTCAGCAACGTGTTGCATGGGCAACTATAGCAACGGTACAAGTAGTGATGCATCAACGCGTGTTTAAAGGAATGTTCAATTTCTTAAACAGCTAGGTCCCGGCTAATGCAGAGGTTGATGTGCACATCGCATAACAAACTTGCACCTTATTGAAACTATCTGCTGTCTCGGCTGTGTATTATTGGTTCAGATCCTTTTTTCGTGAAATTAATGTGTTCCCCCGAGAAATTTTACTTCTCTTGTATAGACGACCACCCTTCCACAGCCACAGTGGATTTTGAACTACCTAAATTCCTAGCAGGTCCCTGAATTACCATGTGTGGATATATGAAGAGCGGTTCTATTACTGTAACGTTCACCGGTTGAACGTTGAATGACGCACAGCCAAATGATCCCGAAAGCAAAACAAGTTTGGATCACAACATATGCGGTACTAATTACATACAGTTAAGTAAAGTGGAGCAAGCCTCAGTTGTTCATGGTCTCGGTGTATCACCGTCAGCAACATTGCAAGTAAACAAGCAAGGAGTTAGGGCACTGTCAATTTCACAGCTCAAAGCAGATCGTCAGATTACAAGTAAAGTGACCGTATAGGAGTGGAACCTTAAGCAGTCACTGGCCAATCACCATGATCCAATCACAAAGCGAGCAAAGTTTATCGGTGAACGTCAGGCACACTCATGCAAGACAGTGGTCTATGGTCAACGGGTGGCCTGATAATCACTTAGCATGCGTACACATCAGTACAGTGCTATGGACACGGCGATATCAAGTTTAGTGGGTGGAACAAAGGTTACAGTGAGGACAAACATATGAGGGTGAACGTGTAAATCACCGGACAAGGGTTGGAACTCATGGGGAACTGAACAATTGCCAAGGCAAGCATATGGTAGTGGGATAATTGGTGGACCAATGGATGAAGGTGTGGGTATATGGAGTAAACCGGCTGGGGGAGGGTTGACATCCAGTAAACAAACCTCCGGGCATGGACCAGGGTGTAGGAGCAACCATCGTAACAACGATGAAAGGTCACTTGCAGGGGCCGAAAAGTGCAGCACAAATGACAAACGAGATCACGTTTTAGAGGAATTTTTCAATCACTGCAAAGCCTCGCTAAAGCTCTCTCTAAAATTCCTCTGTGCGTTTGTATCTTGAAGGACTGGCACCACTCTGGCTCTCACCCTATGATGTTACATTTCATGCGCTCGCAGCTGCTAGGGACTTTGGAAAGCTTACACCACTGAGGGTCAACAGTGAAAGAAGCCGTTCTCCATGACTCATAACCCGTGCCCCTCTGTGGCGTCTCCGTTGTCATGGGTGCGTTTGGATGAATGTCGTTTTTCATGACTACCACCCTGCACCCACAACTAGACTGAAAAACTGCGATCCATCGCCCTCTTCACGGCGCTACCACCACACGCAATCCAATACCAAGTACGTGTGACGCCTAAAACGTGAAAACCTCCAGTACGTCGTTCCATTTCGTGATAGTGGCGTATGTTCATGTCTATCACGGGGTGTTTATTCGGTAGTGTAGCGGGATGTTCCATGTCTTCATTGTAATCAGTATACCCCAGACGTCCACCAACGCAAATGATATCTTCATTGGACAGAGACGTTGAAGCGAACTCTTCATCTGTGTTCGTAAACTCTCGAGTTCACTTGCGTAAACATTTTACTGTACCATACGAACCACATCCCGCCTGGTTCTTTCCAGTTCGCTGACTAGAAGCAGACCCACTGGACACAGTGAGGCGCTGGAATGAGCGCGATACCTAAGTAGCCAAACTTTAAACCTCGGAAGTCATGCAACGGCCCTATTCAGTCTAATCCAATCAGAAAACTGTTCCAGTAGCGGGTTGGTATTCTTCACCATCGTATGCGCGTTTATGATGGGGCGAGTGCTTTTCAACTCGAGGTTTAGTTGCGAGCTGGGCAATGAGCATTCGGTCAGAAACACGGGACCTAGAAGCCAAGCTTCCCATTCCCTTGGATCCTGGATACCACGCGAGGCCAAGTCGGCCGGGTTATCTTTTGACCGCACATGATTACACTGGGGGGTGAAGACATCTCATATATGGTTGTGACGCGATTGCTGACATAAGTGCTGAATCTTGTCACCGTATTACTGATGTAATGAAACACGGTTGGGAATCCGTCCAGAGTGTAGTGTCCCGAGGATCGACGCGAAGTCCCTCTGCCACTAACTGATTGACTCGCATTGCGAGCACCGCCGCTGCGCGCTCCAAACGTGATATTGAAATTAACTTCAAGGAGCATACTATCAACTAAGCGAGTACAAGCGAGCAATCCGGCTGTTCAAGCATCGGGAACACCCTTACGTAGGCCACCGCGCCGTATCCAGTTTCCGAAGCGTCACAAAACACATACACTTGGGCGTCCTTCACATCATCATGGGGGTATTTCGTTGTGCAGCGTGGAATAGATAGTTTACCAAGAGCTCTCATGCCGTGGACCCAGTGTTGTCATACTTTTTCTCCTGCTGTGCCTATGGGATCGTCCCAGCCCAATTGAGTTTTACACAACCCCTGCTACAACATCTTGGCTGGTAGAAACAAAGGCCACACAACCTAGTCGGGTGAAACAAGGAGGATACAAAAGTGACTGCTAAGTCTACCGGATATTTACGAAACTGTAGGCTTACCCTGGATAGTTCGGCAGTGTGGTCGGGCACTTGAAACAACGGATCGTTCAATGCTACATCTTGGAATTTAACTGCCCAATCCAGGACGACCCGTATCTTATCGGGTTTTCTGAGATTGATTGCAGCATGGTGAAGCAGACACCACAGAGGCCTTTCTTCCTAAAAATTCATAATTTTTTTGAACAATTAGCTTTATATTGCCAGACTAGCGCAGCTTACTACGACTATTGGAATATAACTGAACCGAAGGGATTTCTAGACTGTGAATCCATTAATGGATAGGATTTAAGCCCTGCAATATTGAACGAACGTGTGAAGTAACAGTATGGTGTTCCCGTTGTTTCATCCCGACAGTTGTGTGTGTGCTTTGCAACAGATGTTATCGATTCCATTACCGCTTGTTTATCTCGTACAGCTACTCTCTCATCAGGCACTCGCTTGCCTGTGTCCTTATCTCAAGTTCATAAATGGCATTGAGTTCAACGAGGAGCCCACTGAGGAGACGATCAAAACTTTCCAAGAAGCCAAGAATCAACTGTCCTCCTTGGTAAGCCACTTTTTCGTCCAGAAGTAGCTTCACTTAACCAGTGTTTTGTTACGCCTACACTCTAAGCGTGGGCCCTTATCTGCTCGCATGTTTATGTACCATCTCTCATCGTTGTGCTTTACACGGACGTACAAGTTTATACCCTGTATATACTTTATCCACCGCTATTTTTAACTATTCAATTTCCTGCACCCTTATTCATCTCTTTCAGTGTTCAATTATGTGCATTTTGATAGTCTCGCCATTACTCTTTTCTCCTGTATTCTTTCCCATTTCATCTCTTCTCTTCCACATCCATTGAGCAGGAGACTGACCTCGCAACGGGTGCTATTGATACGCATACACACACACACACACACACACTATACACGTTAGCTAGAGGTGTGAAACACCTCAGCTACTGTGCCGCAATACCTAAAAGAAAAGAAGGGAATAAAATGCTACAGGTGCAAGCCAGCTGAGCTACTGGTAACGGATGGGCATCGTTCCGGTAAGCTTCCTGCCGGCTACTATGCAAAATTATAAAATGCTAAAGAATGAGATCGTGTTTGGAGAGTGAGGCTAAGAGGGATGGGGTGGGACAAAGAAACTCACAGCACGAACGCCACTGAGGTCGGCTCCTAGCCATATCAACAAGTGTATCCAGCCAAACGTGTTCATCGTCTTTCGGACCCCAACCAGGGAGCCGAGACGCTTCAACTGAGGCCAGCTTCGAAGTGAGGGCCTTCATTCCTCTCGACCAAGTCATCACTTGGCCACCTCTCCTCTTCTTCCATCCACACCCCCGGCGCGCAAACAACGCACGTCGCGGGAGTCGGTGGGCTGGCATGCGTAACACGTGGCCGAGCCATCGGAGCCTGGTGCGTGAAATAACGGTGCTGAGCGGTTCATTTCCTTCTCCTGTGCTGTAAACAAGGCGTCGAACACGCTCGTTGCTCACGCGGTGTTCCCACCAGATGTGAGCTAAATTGCGAAGGCACCGGTGGTCGAACGTAACTAGCCTCTTTATGTCCGCTGATCTAAGGGGCCAGGTTTCACAACCGTACAGTAGGGTCGAACGTAACGCTGCATTGTACACTCTACCCTTCAGGGCTAGAGTGATGTCGCGCCGGCGCCATAAGTGGCGAAGGTTAGCAAAAGCGCCTCGAGCTTTTGCTATACGGTTCGTGATCTCATCTTCAATCCCACGGGCGCTGATACAACTTAGGTAGTTGAATTTTTGACGACTTCTAGCTGATCCCCACCAATGGTCAGCGAAGGAGGCGGTGCAGGCCAATCTTGGAGGAACGCTTTGCACTTCGATGGTGCGAAGCAAAGCCCGAAGCGGCTGACAGCCAGTGCTAATCTGTCCAGTGCCGCTTGGCACGTCTGGGAGCTGTCACAGATTAGGGCAATATCGTCAGCATACTCCAAGTCAAGAAGTCGTTCTCCTGGGAGTAGATCCACACTTTCTAAGTCGTGTCCTGTGAACGCGATTTCCATGACTTCGTCAATAGCGAAGTTGAAGAGGAAAGGTGACAGCGGGCATCCTTGTCTCACACCGCTGGAGATATTAAAGGGCGACGACAACTTGCCCTTAGCCCTCACTCTGCCTGAGCTACGCGCGTATAATGATCGGATAATATTTACATACTTCTCAGGTACACCTTTCCTGAGTAGACAGTCCCAAAGTGCACGTCTATCCACCAAATCGAATGCACCTTTGATATCGAGGAACACGACAACGGTGGGCCGCCAATATATGTGACGGTGCTCCAACAACTGACGCAAAGTGAAGATGTGGTCAATGCAGCCACGACCTCGACGAAACCCGGCTTGCTCTTCACGAATATGGCTTTCACGAAGTGCCAGTCAGTCTGTGAAGGATGACAGAGGCAAGCAATTTGGAGGCGATGGAGATCAGACTGATTCCTCTATGGTTGCCGCATTCCGATCGTGAGCCTCCCTTGAAAATTGGGACTATGACGGAGCGGCTCCAGTCGGTTGGGACAGTTTCCTGCTCCCACAGTTTCACTAGTAACTCGTATAAATCATCCACAAGAGCAGGTCCCCCGAATTTGAAGAGGGCTGGAGGTAGATCATCTGGTCCCGCGGCTTTAGTTAACTTCAACAGTGCGATCTCACGTTCGACTTCTGAGCGAGAGGGTGGATCCAAAGGGACAGCCCAGGGAGCGGGGCGATCAGTGGCCGGCGAGAAATCTAACAATTCCGACCGATTAAATTGCCTTTCAAAGTGCTCAGTCCAACGCTCCAAGCGTTTTGACAAGTTGTGGATAGGCTGTCCACTCTCGTCACAAATTGTTTCACTAACACCAGGTCTCCTGCTGCCCGTTTCCCGTATCAGACGGAATAACTTACGATGGTTACCAAGGGCAGCGGCCATTTCCATCTCTGATGCACGATGAGACCACCAGGATTCGCGGTCTCTCTTCAGGCTAGCACGGAGTTTTGCCCGGAGCTCTTTGCGAGTTTCATTGTGTTCGCTTCCAGCCGGAATATGCCGGCGAGCATCGATAGGTTCCAGAGACTGCGAAGAGACCCAATGTCCATGTTTTCGATTAGACTTACTACTTGAGGATTTGTCTGCTGCTAGTAAGAGCTGTTGAATATGAGACCATTGAGCTTCAACTGCATCCAGTGAGCGCTTACTCAACTCGCATGACAGCGTACTTTGATAGGCATTCAGAACAGCTGACTTCGCAAGTTGGCTGGTGTCAATGCGCTCACAACGTCGTCTTGGGCGTCCGCCAAAACGCATCCGCAGGTCAGCACATACAAGTGCATGGTCGGTGTCCACACATGTGCTCCAAATCGAGCGACAGTTCTGGATGCAGCCTTTCCAGCGGTAACTGATCGCAATGTGATCGATTTGCGTCCATAGCTGGTTCGAGGCTGGTGGGCGCCAAGTCACCCTCCAGCGGGTGCTGTGTCAGAAATTAGTGCTCGCAAGAAATAAGCGAGCATCTTCACACAAATGAAGTAGCCGCTCACCGTTATCATTACGGGAGCCTACACCATGTTGGCCGCCCAGATGCGGTTCATCAGTGGACAGCTTTCCAACTTGAGCGTTCAGATCCCCAGCCAGCACTACAGTGTCCGAGCTTCTTCTGTGGCGAAGGAGCTCGTTCAGTTGGCGATAGAAGTCGTCTTTTACCGAATCATCGCTAGAGTTTGTGGGTGCATAGGCAGCGATGACGAATAGATACCTGTTAGTCCCGCGCGACTTCGAAGCTTTGAACGAGCCAGCCAATCGGACCGCACACAACTGGCTACTGATTGGATCCAGTCAACCAGAGCAGCTTCAGCCCGGGGACTCAGGGCAATACCAACACCGGCTTGGCCGGTGCTCGAAGCTGCATCGTCACCGGATAGGCGCAATGAGAAAGTGCTGCTGGTGTCACCTGAAGGGGATCGCAGAGTGAGCACAGAGCTCGAGTCTTGCAGGCGGGTCTCCGATAAGCAGCAGATATCGATCGAGAGGGTCTCTAATGTTCGGGCAAGTGCTGCCTGTTGACCGATCTGTAGCAATGTGCGTACATTGAGGCATGCCAATCTGAAGGATGATCGAGGGCTCCAAATGGAAGTCGATGAACTGGGCTTGGCCGCTTGCTTGGACATGGGCTTGTCGACAGGACAGGAATGACGCTCCGCGTTCACATGTGAGTTGAAACTAAAAGACAAACGACTATCAAAGCAAGGTGGGGGAGGGCCAAGAATTGGGGGGTTGAAAACAGGGGGGATAAAAGTGAAGCTGGAACGGGACGGTAAGAGAGAAAAAGCGTAAGAAGGGGAATAAGAAGATGGGAAGGCTTGAGCAGTAGCATCCAAACCCCTATCCACCCTGCTCGATGCAGCAGATAGGGCACCGTTGATTATCCTCTGCGGTGGCCAGAGCATCAAGAAACTGTTTGAAGAGAAATTCATTGTATTGCGTGGGCAGGATATTGTCAGGTTGCCCAGGCCTAGACAGGAGAACGATTAGGGTTCTCAACCAAAGCCTTTGGTTCAAAAACCTGACCGCAAGGCAGCGGGTTTGGCGTTGGGCTACAAGGAGTCCGTTTTAAGGAATAAGGAGCCACCTCATTCCAACCCCCAACCTGGAGGACCAGGAGGCTGAGTTTGTCTGGCCTCTAACCATTGACCAATCTGGTATGAGTGGCTCTGAAGGTGCAACAAAGCAGCACCCAGCATAGCTCAGTGGATCGCTGAGGCACACAAACCATCACACCACGGTAAGGTCCAGCCTCATTGTTGTCGATACACGTAACTCGTTCCCTTACCACGAGTCTGTTTTCATATTGCTCAGATCGGCCAACAGACGGCACTAACTCTCACTTCATTCCCTAAGAATCAGTCTGTGTTGTGCCTCCGAAAGGCGCAAACACGACCTCAGTAATGTGATATATCTTCGGCCATCCATTTCAGAATACATCGACAATAAGTATATTTTTAGCGTTTGTTACATTGCGTCGGTGCCTCAGGATATCTATGTTTTCGCCGAATTGCCCTCAGCTAATGGACTGAAAACAATTTACACTTAATACTGCCGCATAACCAAGTGTGAAACTGAACTTCGAATTTACATGATTGATACTAAGAACCGTTTGGGGAACAATATACCTTTTCATTCGACTTCGTCTTAGGGTTTGTCGTGGACGATATCCGTCGTCAGCTCTCCTCCCTTATTCATGTGGCGAGTACTTCTGATATTGTGACTGTTGCTGAGAAATTCGAATACGTCTGAAGCTATATTAGCGCTGGCTGTATAGAAGATGAAATTGCAAACTGCCTAACAAGAACAGAGGTATTTTTACCAATCTCTGGCACCTACGGCGTCTGCGCGACATCACTTTCGTCCTGAAGGGCAGAGTTCATAACGCAGCCGTGCGTTTAACCCTGGTCCATCAGATCGACAGACGTAAATGGGCTTATTACGTTTGACCATCGATGTCTTCGTGCCTTAGCTCATATCTAGTGGAAACACCGCGTGAGCATTGGACGTGTTCGGCGTCATTATTTGGCGCAGGAAGAGCGAGTGAACTGCTCAGCACCGTCATTTCATGCACCGGCCTACGTGTTGCGCATGCCAGCACACCGACCCCCACATCGTGTGTTTGCGCGACTGAGGTGTGGTTGGAAGAGGGGGAGAGAAGGCTAAGCCATGACTTGGTCGATAGGAATAAAGATCCTCGCTTCGAAGTTGGCGTCGGCTGGTGTTTCCCAACTGTCGGGTTGGAGTCCCAAGGACGATGAATGCGCTTGGTTGGATACACTTGCTGACATGGCTAAGAGCCGACCTCAGTGGCGTTTGTGTTGTGAGTTTCTTTGTCTCTCCCCATCCGGCTTATCTTCCCCTTCTCCAACCACGATCTCACACTCCGTGGGTAATGTGGCACTTAGCACTATATTACATGCTGCTCAGTTTTTCGTATTTCGTAATGTTTAGTAACTCGCTCTTCACATTTCTTCTCCTTTGTATTGCGGCACAGTAAGGTACAGTGAGTTTCACAACTTCAACTCGCGTGTAATATTGCTGCTGACGTGATTGTTACCGTTGATATGAATATCCACATAGCTCGTCTTTAATACTGTGAACAACGCCTGAGATTCCATTTCGGGATCGATGCACGCGGAATAGACGACTATGTGCTAACCAAACTCCATATATACAGAGTGAATGAGAAGTTTTGAGCCTGTAAAATACCAAACGAGATATAAGGTCATCAATCATTTTATTTTGAACATAATTAATCTCAAGCGCAACATATTTTCTCCATCGGTGCTGAAGCGTTTTTATCCCAGTGGAGAAGGACTCTTCAGATTGCAATTCTAAATGCTCCTCTATGGCTTCCTTTACGTCACTGTCGTCGGGAAAATATTCGCCAGGTAAAGCTTTTTCAACTTTGGAAATAGGTAGAAGTCAGAGAGGAGCATATCTATTGTATAGGAGAGATGAGGAAAAAACTGGAAACTGCAATCATAGATTGTTTTCTGAGCAATCGAAAAGATGTGAGCTGGAGCATTGTCGTTGTGGAATATAACTCCTCTCGCCAGCATTCCTGGCATATTCTCCCAATTTTTTCTCCGAGACTTTTCAGAAGCTCTTTCGAGAATATAAGACATCACCACATCTCGGGAATCTCATGGAATATGTGACGGCACCTTGCCAGCTGACGGCGTAACGTTCGCCTTCTTTGGCGTAGGAGGTGATGCACACTTCCTTTGTTTTCTTTCTTGCTGAAAGTGGTGCTTAGCGCACATCCATATTAAGGACTCGTGCAAGAAAATCATCAGCATCTGCTCCAAACAGTTTCATGCCGATTGCGCTTCCTCTCAAGAATCAGAAGACGTGGTACCACCGAGCCGAAACTTTTGAGTAGTCTAACTCCTTCGTCAGAATATTATCTGCTCGCTCCTGGGAGATACCCAACCTCTGCTATCTGACGAGTTGTCACTCTTAGCGATCTTGCATGATCATATCCACATCTAGGTCAAAATTTTCTTTGGTGGTGGCAATTGATTATCTTCCTGACCTGGGTTCTTCTTCAATACTCTACCTGCGCCCTTGAATTTTTGAGCCTAATATTTTAACTGGGGCATTGTCATGTGAAATGTTGAGCAGATCTTAGTGTATTTCGGATGGGGACATCCTTTTGAAAATTTGTTCTAATGGATCACTACATAATGCTCCAAGTTCACCAAATTACGAACCTCCCTTCACTTCAAGAATCTGCTGAAGCAGAAGTACAAGAAGTAAAAATATGCATTTACACAATATGAATGAGGGAAGTGGTAGATTTTATAGATAAAACTATTTTACCTGCTAGGCTCCAAACTGTGCATTCACTCCTCGTATTAGAAGCCAAGTTTTACAGCATGGACGTTATCCGGCGTGCACCGAATCACTTGATGACTTGGACCGAAATCCACTATTTTGTTATCTGCTACGGATGCTGCACACCAATTCAGCCCTGTAAATCATTGTGGATTTCGTTCGCACCGTGGTGTACGCACGCATGGTGCTCTTTCTCTTACCTTGTAATGTGGATTCGTCGTTCACAATTCACTACTATCGTGGCGGATTGGCCTACCAGTTGTCACTGATGAACGAAGCTAGTAAGCCGGATGTCGGCTGGGACAGTTTCAACCGTATTTTGAATCCTGTTGTTTGCTCAACTCGTGACGTCCGCACTGTGGATGGAGCTCTGGGAATGCCTGCTAGTCCGATGGAGACATATAGATTAACTTCATCTGGTATTCTTTTTCCCGCGCGTCAGTGACACCCTAATCTGACGTTTAACCAAAAGTATTGTGTGAACACAACTAAAGTCCACCAATTTTTCTTTGGCACTGGCATGTGTGCTACGTTAGAACCGCTCCCGTCGGTTGGCTCTTATCCTCCCGATATCGAATGGCCATCTTTCTCGGTGTGTTGCTGCGCTTAGCTGGGTGGAAATGCGAGGTGGTCGGTCAATACCGTATCATGGGAGCGTGAACAAATTGACCAAGTCACTTGGTCATGCTGGCATATACCGTCTTTGGGGATGGGGTGGTTCTAGATGAACCACACTATTGCTTTGAAGAATACCACTGAGTCAGTTACGCCCTCACATTCACTTTCTTGCATCCAATTATTAACATTCCACTTTGATTAAGTCTACTCATTTACTTTTTCCTAATTGCCTCTGTGTTGTCTCGCTTGCGCTTCATCCCCTTTTTCTCATCCTCCTTAATTATTACCCCATTGACCCGACTTGTTGCACTTAGCTGCGTCGCGCTTCGGTGCCCGAATCATAGTTGTCTGACTGAGCTGAACCTCTAAGTGTGTATTTCATATTTAGTCATCATCATTACACGCTAGCTGAAGTCGAGGAACATCTCAGCTATGATGTCTCAGTCGAAATACATGAAATAAGCGAGATACAGGGTGCAGAAACCCTGAAAAGTGCAAGAAATGTGAGGCTAAATATAATATTACGCATCAGGGATGAGGTCGTGGTTCAAGGGGGAATCTAAGCGGGAGGTGAAGTGACAAAGAAATTCGCAACAGAAGGCCATTTAGGCCGGTTCTTCACCATGTTAACTAGTGTATCCAACAATACGAACCCACTATCTTTCGAACCCCAGTCTAGAAGTAAAGAGACACCAACGGACGCGTACTTCGAAGTATCACTTCTTGACCAAGTCATCGGTTGGCTTCCCCTATCCGCACGTCGTGGGATTCGGTTTGCTGGCATGCGCAACACATGGCCCAAATATCGGAGCATGGTACGTGAAATTACGGTGCTGAGCGATTCACTCGCTCTTCCTACACTAAATACGAGACGCCGAACACACCCATCAGATATGAGCTAAGCTACGAAGGCATCGATGGTCGGACGTAAAAACCTCTTTGTATTTGGAAATTGGGTGTTGCCCACCCGAAAACACTGCACACTGTTTTCGGATGGGCAACACCCAATTTCCATCTGCTTTGAGTACGGTCCCAGTGGTCGCCGTGACTAAGGTTCACTTCAATGTGAACCACAGTCCATTACATTGAGATTGCGCATCGCAATCCAATCACACAACGTGTAGTCCAAACTTGACCCTCCTCTTTGTATTTGTTTATCGGATTGACAAGGTTTCACAACCTTACAGGGGGTTGTAAACTCAGTCCTTTAGGGCGAGAGTGATGTGGTGCCTGGCGCCACGCGTGCCGGAGGTAGGTAAAAGCGTCTCGAGGTTTTGGTATACGGTTTGTGATCTTGTTTACTACTCCATATGCGCTACATTGATACTTAACTTTCTACCCGTGTCTTGTGGTACTGTGATATTTGTCTTCATGTGGGAACTAATCAACCGACAACCCATATTTCGGAACTTTTTTTCTCTTAGTGGGTTATCGTTTTTTGCAGTTGGTCACCTATTTTTCCATTTTATTTTCTGCTGTGCAATCTTAAGTCTCTTTTTTGGTTTTCCTTGTCGTGATTATTTTTGGAAAGAATCGTCATTATTAATGAATGTTGTGTGCTGTCCACTCTCTACCCCACGACCGGGTTCGATCTTGTTTACTTTCATCAGATAGATCTCAGGACTGTGCTTCGAATCCGGGACCTTTGGAATAGCAACCGAAGTTTGTACGCCTAAGTTTACGAGTCACATTTAGTGAGTAATTGTAGGTGTCATTTGGGACACCCGATGTATGTATGGGTTGCGATGTGCAGTCTCAATCTGGCCCGCGATTCACTCCAACTTTAACTATAGTCAATTGTAGTCACTTCAACTGCCGCTCGCCATTAGTTGCGTTTCCTTTTTCACATCGTATACACGAAATTTGCTCTGGACCCTCTATTTCATCGGTCTTCCTTTGGTCATTCGCTTTCTCAGGTAATGCGCTTCAGTTTTCCTCTTTTATGACGTTTTCTAATCCCTGCTTTCATTCTCCTGCTTCAGATTTATTCCAAATGGGAGGATGATATTGCTTGCTTTTACAAGAAGGGCCTCCCGAAAAGAGATGCTGTTCGTGTAGTGGAAACACTTGTGCTCCACTCCGTCAAGCGTAGTGTGGATATACCGGAACCGTTCTGTCACTGCAAGAGTATCTTGGTGAGTTCAATGTGTATATGTCTGTTTACGTCCTCTGAAGCGCTCCTCTTGAAAATGATGGAAGTATCTGCTGGCGAGTAACCTAATTCCTCACTAGATCGGGTCCACAGCACTATGATGCACCGCACACGCTTTCCTCTCCTACTATCGTTGGAAATCGACGAAATATGCGCTACTGCCCAAACGCAAAGTGACCAAGCGAGTGTTTTGTACTTTCCGAGAGCCATTCACTGGTCCTACTCACTTGCAGCGAGGACTCCAGCCTCCAACGGGGAACGGTTGTTTTCAGGAACTCATTTGCACTCATGAATAGGACGATGTTAGTTTAGGCCATCTCGTCAGGTCAGCAAAAACCTCGCTGATGTCGTCTCACCAGAGCAACCTCTTCCATACGCGGTGGCCAGTTGTTTGTGACTGTGCGGTATTGTCAAGTTCCAAGAGCCTTGACGTTGTATGATCGCCTGTTATATCTTAATCTTACATTGAGTGAATCCTTTTTAGTCCCCTCCTCTTATTTAGGGCCGTTTGATGGCATTCGTCCTTCTTGACGATTCTGAGACACTGATTCAACTTACTAATGCTCTTGCTCTCGGTCATGACTGCACTGAGGATGTGGTTGGTGGTTCGCATATCTCAGTATTACGACTTGCTTAAGAAACTAGACACTCGTTTCATGAGGTGAAGGTATCCTGCAGTCGCTCCAATGTACGGGGCTGTAGATGACAACACAGAACTATTCACTGATGCCGGTTGTCTTGCTTCCTTTTTACTATTTCTATGTATCAGCTTACTTTCCGTTCGCCTTTTATAACAAACCCTATCTGGTTTATATTGACACATTCTTGGGGTGTCATACCAACCGATTGAGCTACGCTACTGTTTGAACTTTCCCTATTGCCGCTCTTTTTGTATTTACATAGGCCCGACGAGTTGCTGAGGACTTCCTGTCACCCAAACTGCTTGACGATGATTTTGATGAGGACGCTATCGATAGAGGTCGAAGCGGTGGAGAAGCCAGCGACGAAGAAGACGATGCTCCGGAAAGTGAAAGTGATGTTGATCTGGACGAGGAGGATGACTACTCGAAGCAACAAACTGATCCGTGTAGGAACTCGATCTCTGCACATACAGGGGACAAGGATCTCCCTTTTGAATCCGAAGTGGTCGATAAGCACAAGCTTCTCTCGAAACGCAAAACAGTGAAATCCGTTTCGGCGGAATCCACACAGATGTCTGTTGCTGAACGTGAAGCAGAAGCAGCCGCCGCCAATTTATCTTTATTACCTGATGAACCTCCGGATCGTCTTATCAACGTTGTCGGACAGGCTCTGCGTCATGGGAAAACCGTTGTGTATGCCGTTATCCGGACTGCGGCCAGACAACCGGATGGCGAACTCATTCCGGTTGGTGGGGGGCTAGGTGTCACTAGCAGTGGTGGCGCCGGCGGTGGCGGTCCACGTCCTGTCGTCCAGAGCTCCGACCAAGCAGCCAAGCAATCCAACGCAAGCGTACTGCTGCAAACTAGTTATGAAGGTTTGTTCTTTTTGTGTCTTTTGCACACAGTCATTAAAATAACATAGCCTTCCCGGCCCGTATGCTTAAGTACCACAAATCTGTCTTGTAATCGGACCACGCGGGTTCGAGTCTGCGTAGGGACCGGGCTACCCTCGCAGTATCCGTAGCCCACGTGCGACTGTTGGTGGTTGCGCGTCAGCGAAGTGTCGGTGCTGCGTACTGGCGTACTGCTGATGCCCTATTTCCTAACATTTTCCTTTGTCTTTTTCAATCACGTTAATGTTGTCTATGATATCTCACTAAAAGTAGTATTTTTTACATGCCTAACGTTTCTGTTTGGTTTCTTGGACAGCTTATTCTGTCTGCAGGTTCTTCTTTTCAATTTCTATTTCTGCTAATTCACGGTCTTCCTGTTACTAGACTGCAATCCGGCATCCTCATACATTCGGCTCAGTTTGTGTTTTGTGGTGCACAAAGGAACTCATATCAACGCTTTTCAGATTACAGTTCACTGTTTGTCGGTCTTGAAATCCCCACTACCCGCGGACTATGCAACATTTATGTAGCCGTGTTTTTTTATTCTTTCGAGCCAATCACAACCTGCCCATCAGTCAGATCATGCTTCAGCTACAGTTTTTCTGTGTCGCCATTTGTGTCTATTTTCTCATTGCGTCGAACGAAAAGGTTTAGCGCAGTGTCATTTACGTTCACTTTTAACTTTTTCTTGCTTTCGCTTAGGCGAGGCTGCGACTTCTGTCAATAAGGCTCCAGTCACTGGTCAAAAATCTGCGTCTAGGCCGATTCCACCGTCACAGAGGCAGCACACACCTGGGCCTCGACGCTCTGGCTATCAACCTAAGGCATCAGCCACGCCTTCACTCGCACCAAGTGCTCCGTCTGCTACTGCGTCTTTTTATACGAGGCGATCAGGACTACTTAGTCGGGAAGTTGTTACACCCGATAAGCTCTTATCTGATCAGATCACTCGAACTCCGGCAGTGTCCACCGTGTCGGTTGACTCCACTCCATCTGGTCCAGTCTACACACTGAAACAACGCCCTCTGCTTCCATCCGATTATATCATTCGTCCCTCTCAATCCGAGTCTCAACCAGCTCTTGTGGTTCCAAATCTTCTGAACCAACAGAAGAAGGAGCGATCTTCCTGGACACCAGGTCGTCGAGGTCGTCCACCATTAGCCCAGTCACTTGCCAAGAGGTAAGAAATTCGTCCGATTCCGTTTCATTAGGCTCGGTCCAGTTTACTTGCTGCACACATCTGACGATTTTTTTTACCTTTTAATTATAGGGCTGCTGTTGCCCAAGCCGAAGCGGTCGCAACTTCAAAGTTAATTGAGCATGTGACGATTCCCCCTCCGCACTCCCCTCCTCCGCCCACAATGCGGATGTCCACTCGTGACTCTAATCGTCTAAAGCGATTCAGCGTTTATGGAGTCATCGATACAGCTGCTGCTCTAGCTGGTAAAGAGGAGGCACTGCTAGCTGCCGCATTAGCCGTCGAAGACGAACAGGAGAGCACTTCTATCAAACAGTTGATGCAACCTACCACTGTTCCTCCTACTCCTCCTGCTCCTGTGCTTTCTACTCCGGCTGCTACCTCTGTTTCCCCCACTCGGCCTCCTCTTCCTTCCACTTCTACACCTCTTCCCGCCTCTCCTACACGCATTGCCCCATCTCCATCTCCTCCCTCTCCCTCTGCTTCTCCCACTCTTTCTGCCCCACCACCTCCCTCTACTCCTCCCGCTGCCAGTCCTCCTCCACCCGCCTCCCCCATTGTCACCCCTCCACCCTCCACTCCTGCTCTTACCACTCCTCCGCCTTCCTCCCCTTCTTCTTCATCTTCTCATGATGATGAACTTACTGCCGAAGAGATTGCCTTGGCGAAAGCAAAGGAGGACGCAATGATTGTCGTGTTGGAACCGGGCGACACACAGTGGGCAACCAAGATGGAATCACCAGTGAAGGAACCTGAGGTGATTGAGAGTGGTCGAAAGCGTAAGCGCCGACCGACTGACCAGAATGCTGTTCCGTCACCAACTCCTGCTCCAGAATCCACTTCAACTACTGAATCCCCTGTAGCCTTAACTCGCAAACGGCCTCCTCGAGCTCACTCTCCAAAGCCTCCGGAACCCAAGAAAGCGCAAACAGTTGCATCTGTTCCTGCGTCGACACGCACCACTCCAAGTAGGCCAAGAGCGGACTCTGCTAAAAACATCAGCAGTCTTACCCAATTGGGTTCAGTAAGTGTTTTTATGGCTGTTTTGGTGTTTGCTCTTTGTCTCCCTCTCCTGATAAGGGAACCGGAGCCATTGTCGCCCGGTAGATGCATCACATGAATCGAGATAAAACACCGCACTGATACTCAAACAATGAAGGTTAACATATGTTGCTTTCTAGAGACGGTTCCGGTGTTTCGTTGTGGTCATTAAACTAGTGGTACGGTCACCGCGCACTTGTTGCCACGGCAACACCACCACCACAAGATATTGATCATCGCCAATACATCGGATTCTGGTCCATTTTCATCACAGAGCAATCTGCACAACTAACCCGATCGGTGCAAGCATAACACCTATGTCTGTGTCGATTTCGTGTACGTCCGAAGCTACCATCTAGATATCCAGGTGCATTGTTTCGCGTCCTTTGCATTGTCAACTATATCATGGTATGCTCACAAGAGGCACATCTGAATCACGAGTTGTTAGCGACTAACCGGTGGTCGAGTAGATAAGTAACCACACGGCATCCGTTTGACCCCGCCTAATTTCTGGTGACCTCACGTTATCTTTCACCAGCACTCGTCCGTTGGTGGTCGTGTATTAGCGAAGTGTCGCTACTAACTATCGACGCACTGTTGATGCCTTCTCTCCATAAATGAGCTCTCAGACAAGCGGCTTATTTTTGCTCCATTCTGCATCTGTTTGAACATGGCCGGTGCTTATTTCCGCCATGCAGCGACCATCGGAATTTTCTAGGCAATGCAATTTCTAAGCACATCGTACCCTAGTTGATGTTGCATTCATGTTGCTTCTTCACCGCAGTTGGGATAAACCAACTCACACTTGAACTAGGCATTCTTAATCTGGATAAAAGCCATTCCACTTTATTTGATTCGTTCAATTATATTATCCTTGCTGCATATTTTGTGTCAAATTTGCGTGTTTTCTTTCGCTTAAATTCTACGTTTGTTCTCTGATATTCCCGGTGTGGCTGCGCTTGATGTGAATGTTTACAAGGTGCCTACCCGTCTAACACTCCACCTCGATTACAGACTCCAGGAGATTGTGTATCGTTGCAGGGGGACGGTGTGCACACTCCTCCTGGCTGTGCTAGGCTCAAAGAGTCCTTCCATCCAGTGTGGAGCGATCTACGGCCCAGCCACTGCCTTGTGTACGTCTGGTACGCATGATTTCATACATAGATAGACAAGAATGCTGCTGCTGTGCATGTTGATGACGTGTGGGCCGGCTCCATTAATAAAGCGTGGCTCCCATCCACATACCATCCGGTCCTATTCCTTCGAGTTTACACTGGAAATTGGGTGTGTGTGGATTTAGCTGTGGGTGGTGCAGCACAAGCCACTCATGGTCCCTCTGTAGACGCAGACGTGCTGTGGCTGTCCTGTGGAAATCACAGTGACTAGCAAATCCGGAACTGGATACTGCTAAACACGTACACGTGTTCCCTACATACTTCTAGTGTGCGGTGCTGTAAAAAGTCGGTCCTTCAGGGACAAAACGTATATTCTGCAAACAAAAGGACCAGGCGAAAACGCAGACAGAGGGCGAGTGAAACATATCGGTATATACAGCTAGTTGGATCCATAATTAACGACCTTTGTGAATGCATGACATTTTTCCTTTGATTCAGTCAAACAAACTCACTCCAATGCGTCCACTGTTGGCCAATCAGAGTGCATACGAGAAACGTGTGAACGTCCTATCAGCTGCCGCCTTTCCTTGCGGCAGCCTAACGGCTTCCTTGCTGGGCTGGCACCGCACGTTCGTTCGAGTGTATACTCCCATCACAGTGCTGCGGAGCTTTGTTTCACTATCGAAGTGAATACCGTCTCCGGCGATACAAAATTATTGTTGAACTTTCTAGATGCTATTCGATTCTGGTTGCAAAATCCCCTTGTTCCCGCAAAGTCACAATCACAACCAAAGTGACAACTCAGTGCTCTTTGCAAAATAGTGTGTTCTGCAGTACTAATACGTTGGAATGCTAGCTGAATCCACAGGTTAATCCGGAATCTTCCGACTTCCAAAACAACTGGGCCGATTGCTAGTCTTAACTGCTAGCCTGATTCACTTAGACTAGAGCCACTAGGTGACGTTCTTGAATTCCTAATGGCTAGTGAGGACTTGGGTGTAATTTCCAAAGTGGTTCGTCGCAGTCCCCTCTCACCAGAAGGCTTAGACACGTCTGAAAAAGCACCAGACGGCTGTTTCGATCTTTTGCATCCCGTCAGTAGTGCGTCTTCCTCCTACCCCTGCCGGGTTCCGACCCCATGACTTCCTCCTTTCTAGTTTGACGGTCGCTAGTTCGGAGTGTTTTGAAGCTATAGTGGTTTTTGCTGCGGAACTTTGCTTTCTCTCACTCACCAATCGCAGGTAGTTTTATGTAGCCCCTGTTTCACAATTATTTTTGGGACAACCTCCTTGCCCTGTGACTTGTAAACCTAATGGGACTCAATCGATTTTTATGTTTAATTTTACAAACGGTATCTTCAATTAAACGATTTTGCAGTGTGACCAAATCTGCCACTTGAATAAATTCCATTGCACTCTTCTTCTTTTTGGGTACACCGTGTTGAAGATTAGAAGTACTGAGTGTCACATCGTTAGCCTTGCGTTCAATTTCCAGTTGACTTCCATTCGTCCCTCGTTCTCTCTTCAACCACTTACTACCTCAGTTCCTTAGTTTACCATCTTAAGTATTTTACATTCATAACAACCGGTCGTACGCCTTGTCGCAGTCCACGGAGATACAAATGTTGTTCATCCAAATGGCCTACGTTTTACGTTGTGGAGCACTGTACCGGCGCGTTCTAACTATAACGGCCATAGCTGTCCACTACTTCGTCCACCTTGAAGTATGCTTTCCGCCCAACGTTACGGTTTTCAGTTTTTCACTCTGCATTTTTCTTCGCTCTTCCTCTCAACGAGCAAGACGTCACATTAGTAACGGTGCTAACTTAAAAATACAGTGCCAATTGTTTTTTGTCGCAGAGAAAAATTGTTGCTTCATGCCCCAAAATCGTTTCGTGAAATATGTGCCTGCCATTGCGAAGATCAATGCTGCTGCCTACTATGGAATTATACCGGTCACATCCTTTTTCTTGATTTCTCTCAGTCGACGTCATGCTTACTTAATATCCTCGTGGGGCACACGATAAACCTGGAGTGACGCAGCTGGCTCGCTCAGGAGTGGGTATTGCTACACGAACCTCACCTTAAGAAAGTTGTGCGGGGCTTTCGAAGGTCTCATAAGTGTGCGTTTTCTCGCGAGTAAACTTATCAACTGATTATCATGCTTCCGGAAAACCACTGGGTGACCGCTTCGACTTTTCGGACCCATTTGTAATGGGTTACACTGGACCCCAAATATCCACTGTGTTTCCTTACATTCAGCTCCAATTTTGCACGCTTGCACCTTGATTTCCCACACCCGTCTTCTCCTTCCTTTCAGATTGTTGACTATGACCCGTTGCATTTTATTCGGTGTCATGCCCGGGACAACGATCCATTGGATTGTGAAACAAAAGTATGGCGCTGTGCGTTCGAACCCAGTGTGGACGATCCGCGGAGCGAGACATCTAGTGTCGTGGCCACCTGCGGTGGTGAGTGTGTCTGCCTCATCGATTGTCGATCCGGTCGGGTTATGAAACGGTTCAAGCATTTGGGCGAGGTAAGTTATGTGTTCTGTTCATGTGGCTGTTGTGCCTCTTGATTGCGCAAACTTCATTTTATATATCATAAGCCTCGTCTGCGTTTCGCGTCCTGGAACGACAGCTAAGGTAACTGCGAATACACTTATTCCCTTGCGCCTCGTCAGATGCCTACCCTTAGGACCCGCATCGAAGCTAAGTTATATGCGCGATACTTATGTGGGTATTTAGGCGTTTGACTTGCAGGCTCTGATCACCGGGTCCCAACTCCCGTTGTTGCTTAAGTTTGGGCTTCCTGGCATGCTCCCACTGTAACCGGTTTTGTGCCACTGCGCTTCGAGCCTTGTGACTCACAGGCACTCTTCATCTTAGGGTTCTCCACCAGTAAGACGTACCGGGCCGGGGATGGCTAGACACAGTGGTGTAGCAACTACTTTTGCCACCTGGAGCGGTGGCATAATTTTTGCCATGAGTGGGGACAGAACAGGCGCATAAAGGCCACACACAGTCAACTCAAGGTAAAGAGCACATAAGTTTCCGACGAGATGATTGCTCATTTGGGACACTGAGGTGTAAATGTGGTGAAAGTAACCACACAATGGGACAAGTAAGGAGATCACTTGGAAGAACATGACACGGCACAAATGTGTTGTTAGTGATACAGAATAACATTAAATTATTCAACCCATCAGCTTATTCGGGTCTTTTTGCCCATTATATTTGGTACCGAATACTAGACGGTACTAAAAATACCTCTGTCTGTCACGTATCGCCCGGGATAAACCGCCCCCATGCTACGTCATTGGCTAAACACGATGTCGGTGACTTCATGCTGTGTCACTAAGTAGTCGTCTAGCCTCCACTTGGCTTACTCCAATGTGGATCTGCGAGCGCAAACAGGGTACGGCGTGGTAAGTTCTCCTTAGGCATGAGTAGGACGAGTCCAACCCATCTCGATTGACGCAGCACAACAAGCTCACAGTGAAGAACACTTGTGTTGCTCAAGACGTAGTTTCTGTCATCCTCATCGCGCACTCGATGTTGCCGCCATACACGGCCGGTCCTACTCAAACAGCCACTGTCAAACGCAGAATGCCTACATGGATCCGTCAGGATTCGCGGCATCCGGTTTCCGATTTGCCTGTCACTAGCCAGCCACAGAACGCTTGCGCCTATACAGAGGGACCATGGGTGGCTTGCGCTGCATCACCCCATATCCAGTGTAAACCCGAAGGAATAAGACCGGGAGGCAAGTGGATGGGAGCCAAGTTTCATCAACGGAGCCAGCACACACTCCTTCACAGACAAACACAAACATGCTGTATTTGGGAATCAGTCGCACACACTGCGGTGGCTGAACTGTAATCCGCTCTAAACTGTTTGCATGGAACCACTCTTCGAGTCTAGCGCGACCACAAGGACCGTGCACCTCGTCCTCTTCAGCAACGACCAACTGTCTCCTGGAGCCAGTAGAGAGGAAGTGGTGGGTAATAGACAGGTAGGCACCTTGTCAACATGCACATCAAGCGCAAACACATCGTTGATGTCAAGCAACAGCCAATCACATGAAATTAAATTACTAATAAAAATAGGCAGAAAACACCGTACGGATATACCGCTAAATTATCACATACTATAAATGGATTACCAACATAATCGCGTTTAATTGAAAATGGCAGATAAAGAGATTAAAAAACGTTAGCAGAATGGAGAAAACAAACGAAATGAAGCACCTTACGTTTAAGCGACATTTGCAATTTAATAGATTATTTGTGCAGACATTAAAATGAGGTAAGAAAATATGCATTAAGACAAGATAGCAAACCTACCACCTGAAATAAAGGAACTCAGCACGCAACCATGCGGTTTGTATATCGATTGCAGTGCACCTACCAACGCTGCGCGGGTTCTGCCTACGTGCTCAGCAGTACCTGTCGTCGTTCCGATGCTGGTGCTGAGTGGCCTTCCTCGTGGCTAACTAAACCTGCCTAACTTAAGCATTCGCGACCTCATGCGCTACAGCACCATGCGCTCGACGTCGATGGAGTACAGCCCCTCGGCGCCTGTCCTTTTCGCACTTGCCGCCTCTCCTCTGCATGCACGAGAGCTTATTCTTACACCTCGGCAACTGCCTTCGTGATTAGATCGCGCTATACACGCCGATCAACCGCCTTCGATTCCCATGACCTGCAATCAACATCAGAACGTGAGAGGTTCACTTTGATCATGTTCTCTTAACGTAACTTCGGTTTTCCCACGTGCCATTTCCCTTCACTCAGCTGGCCATAAAGCATCCGTTTCGGTATCCGGGTCGAATCCATGCGGCGAATATGCCCGAGCCACCTCAGGTGCCTCAGCAGAAGTATGCAGTCCACTGCATACATGCCACTGCGTCGGAGCACCTCCGTGTCTGCAACTCGGTCACTCCAGCCGATGCGCATAATACGGCGCAGACACTGCTGATGGAAGCGCTCCAGATATCGGACATCCTTCCGATAAAGCGTCCAGGTTTCGCTGCCGTATTTAAGAAAGGACAACACCATAGATTTATATACCAGCAGCTTCGTCCCAACGATGAGCTGGTGGTTGTTCCACACACGGCATTCCAGCTTGCGAAAGGCAGCAGCCACCTTCCATACGTGGCTGCGCAGCACGCATGTCATCTGCTGGTCGGTTGTTATTACGTTACCAAGGTAGCAAAATCTCGGAGTGGTTTCCAACACTACGTCGGCAATCTGGATTTGGGGCAGACCGACGGACTCCATTCCGTGTGAAGGCTGGAAAAGACGAACAGCCTTGGATGGAAATATTTGGGTATTGTTCTCCCCAACACTGTCACACCACAAAGACCGCTCGCGCTCCACACGAACACGGTAAGCACCAGCCACATCAAAAGCACAAGACATCATTGCATGAAGATAAATATTAAACAGGGCAGGAGCAAAAACAGCCTTGCTTCACACCAGTGACAACTGCAAACTCATCCGAGGTCTCTCCACTCAGGTGCACCCTAGCCCGCATACCACTTTGCAGACGTACAATCAAACAAACTTTCTCGGACGACAAACTCAACACAAGTCACAATGTCTCGCGGTTCACTGTATCCAATGCTTTGGTGAAATCAGCAAACAGCGAATACAACGGCTGGTGTCGTTCTTTACACTTCCCCTGCTACTGACGAGCTGCGAACACTGTATCCATAGTACTGCGACCCGAACGGAATCCACACGGCTCTTCTACAACCTGACTGACGACGCGGTTGGGCAGGATTCGGGCAATCACCTTGTCTACACAACTCAGCCAGTTGATGTCACGATAATTCGGGCAACATTGCTTGCTCCCTTTGTCCTTGTACAGTGGTAGCACAAGAGCATCCTTCAGCTCAGGAGGCACATCCTCAATCCACACGCGTTGCATCAAGTGGTGCAGCGCAGTCAACAACGCGGGTCCGCCGTGTTTCAATACTTCAGGCGGGATCCCATCGGCACCGGCATCCTTGTCGTTTCGCAGCTATGCGACTCATTCAGTGTGGAGTCTTCCAAGCAAATCTCCGAAGCACAACTGCCACCTCGCGTGCGACTGCCCACCAATGCAATGGTATGCCTGCGCGCAAAGCACTCAGCATCGGGTGCTGGAACGTGCGCATACTACTGGACCGGAACTCGGGTGAGCGTCCCGAGCGACGCACTGCACTGGTCGCGATGGAACTGGCGCGCTACAACATCGCTATTGCTACGTTCAGTTAGACTTGACTCGCTGAGCAAGGTAAGTTGCATGAAGCAGGTGCTGGCTACACGTTCTTTTGAGTGGGCAACGCCGCCACAGCACCACGTGAACATGGGGTCGGATTTGCAATATCCGATCGCCTTCGTGGCCTGCTAGTGGGTGAACCAACGGGCATTAGAGCGCGACTGATGACTGCTTGCCTACGACTCGGAAGAGGTAATTTTTCCACTTTTACAAGCACTTAAGGTCCGACCATGTGTTATCCTGCTGAAACGCTTGATTAATTCTACAGTGGGCTATCCTCCGTGATACGGTCTGTGCCGAGGAGCGACCGACTATTTCTGCTGGGCGATTTCAACGCGCGCGTTGGGCGTGATGATGTATGGACAGATGTCATTGGTCCGCATGGTATTCGTTCAGCAAATGCGAACGGTGACAGGCTGCTCTCACAGTGTGCCACTCACGGCCTGACGATCACGAACACTCGGTTTGCACTGAGTGCGAGTGATATAGCAACTTGGACGCACCCACGGAGTGGTCACGCTCACCTGCTCGACTATGTCATCGTACGTCAGCGTGATATGCGTGAAGTGCGCATGACACGTGTACGGCGTGGAGCTGAGTGTGGCACTGATCACAAATTGGTGCGGACCAAACTGTACATATATTTTCGTAAATCTATGTGTTGTACTGCCGCCGTGAATCGGCCTAAATTTAACATTCTCTCCCTCGGTACTGTGGAGAAACGTATTGAGCTGGAGAAGGCGATGGCTACACACCTGTGTGATGTGGAAGGCATAGCCACAGTGGGCGACCTGTGGCACCACATTCCCGCCCAAGTGACAACTGCTGCCGAGGAGAACATCGGGCGCGCAAACTGTAAGCGGCCGGACTCGTTTGATGAGAACAATGCGACGATTGGCGAATTGGTGTCGGAGAAGAATGCAGCATTTGCTGCACATGTCGCAAACCTCAGTCATTTGGGGAAGAAGAGTCAGTGTCGCAAACTTCGACGGCGACTGACCCGAGAGCCCCCTCGCATAAAAATGCATGGTGGACGGAGAAGGCGAAGTAGATGGAATGCGACACCCAACGCCACCAACACAATACATTTTTGACTCTTTGAAGGCGGTGCATGGACCGAGATTGGAGCCGCTGAGGACGCTGATCGATGGTAGTTCAGGCGCTACCTGCACCCAGACTGCAGACATAATGCAGATCTGGCAAAAGCACTTTGACTGTCTTTTGAACAACCGTTCAGAGATTGACTGGCCGACTTTGAACGGCCGCAAGT